AGACCCTTGTTCCAGTGGGCAAAGGGGCTGACGAGACCCCCGGGTACAACTGCTGTATCTCAGACGACAACAGGTCGGAGAGGCGTTTTCTGTATCGCTTGCCTGCCACGGGGTAGGTAGCCTATAGATTTGGAGGTTCCCAGAAGACACGCGTGTCCGCGGACAGGGACATTCTGACGTTCAGGCATTTTAGCAGCTGGGTCCATGAATCCCAAGAACACAGTCTTCTGTTTCTCCGCTCAGACTAATCATCATCATCACCACCATCATCATCATCATCATCACTGAGTTGTACTTGATTGTGGTCTTCGTGTGCTATTTCCCCCCCCCCCCCACTTGGCTTGAAACCGGTGATTTTCTCTGGTTGGTTTGTCCTGATTTCTGCTTTGATGTACAGAACAAACTTTCAGACGTTCAGATTTGGTTTTCTTCACACTGTCCCTCTTATCAGCGGGGTTCACACCAATGCTAAATCAAAATATGGGGGTTTGCTTATTTCCGGGTTGGGGTATTACATTCCTAGCTAGTGTGATTTGTAAGGCAATACATTCTGGGTTGTTTTACAAATCACTTTAGAAGTGATTTGTAAAGCATGCTTTAGACCTGAATACATTCTGGGTTGGGGTATTACATTCTAAACGTAAGGTGCAATGCATTCTAAACATAGTATAAAAGTACTTGATAGTAGCTATTCAACGAACCATGTTTAGGTTTCTGGGTTTTGTAACGTAAAATTTGCATGCCCACAAGCTTGTATTTGAATATTTTTTTAACTTGGCTCGTTTTCTCAATTTGCCTCTTAATCTTTTCAGCTAGAGAGGAGTCCATATAGGTGAAAAAATAATATTACTTTCAAATAAGTCTTGTGCTCCAGATTTCCAGACTATACCCACACAGTGAGGAATTTGGGAGTATTGTAACATTTATTTATTTTATTTATATTGCGCTTTTATTATTTTTACAAATAACTCAATGCAGTGAACATATCCAACACACCTTCTATTTTCCCCAAAACAACATCCCTGTGAGGCGAGTTGGGCTGAGTGAGAGTGATTGGCCCAAAATTATCCAGCCAGCTTTCATGGCTAAGATAGGACAAGAATTTACGGTTTCCCACTTTCTAGCTTAGTGCCTATACAGTTTTTCAATAAGTGAACTCCTTTGGAAAGCTAATGTGTTTATGTGGTCCTGTAATATTCCTCAACTTGCCACTTTCCCACATTGTTAGGACTATAATTTCCAGAATTTACCTTCTGCTTTCTTTGTGCTATAGGTAAAGTTTGTAATCTGAACTGAGATTATTGCATATCCAAACAATTTATGTGTTCAAAATGCTGGACAGCATGTCTGTTCAAACCAACCAATATAGCAGTTGCAGAATAATGAAAATTACTTATGGAATATAATGCTCTGCATTTCATTACAGAATTCTCTTCCAAGTGTTACTTTGCAGTTGCTAAGTCAAATCTTCAGGGCTTCAGGATTAAAATGGCTTGGGTATCTTTTATTTCCCCTGAGTAATACGGTGTTTTTAACTAGTTACCAAAAACAGTATAGACTATATAAAAATACAAAAATAAAAAATATTCTTCTGCAGCTGCTTAAAAAACCGATTTATTGCATCACATTTATTTCTCTAGCCTTTTGTAATTTCTAATTGCTAACAATGCATCTTAGAACATACTTTAAAAAGTTTACTCTGTTATGGAAAAATTGCTTGAAATTGACCTGTTAGCCAGTATAAATTAGGAAACTAGTTCTTTGTTCTCAAAGCAGAAATTCTACATAACCTCATAGTCTAAATTCTTACAAAACATATTTTACTGTATTATCAAATGGATTTATGCATAATACTTTGATCATTTATGCTTATATCTTTTTCTCATGAATGCATAGTTGGTAACGATAAGGGCACTGGGAAGACTGCAAATATTTTACTTGGCATCATGTTTTTGAACCTTGCTCTGTAAAAAAATGAATTAGTTTCCTTCTTATGATTTTGTAACTTTGTGCATTGCAGTAAGAATTGAACAAACTGTTCAAGACAAAGCTTAAATCCAGATTAAAAAGGACAAGTGATAGTGCTGTGGAATTTCTTCCACATTTCCCATTCCAAATGACATTGACAAATTAAGAATTCTAACCCCCTGTCTAAACATCTAGATTTGGGGTCTCCAACCTTGGCAACTTTAAGACTTGTGGACTTCAACTCCCAGAATTCTAGGAATTGAAGTTCACAGGTCTTAAAGTTACCAAGGTTGGAGACCCCTGATCTAGAGTGTTTGCTGATTTTATTAGAAGTGAAGATCCATTTCCAATTCTATGAGGATCTCCAAAGTTCCAGTAATGAGCAAACTTGAGTCTTGAATAGAAATTCTGGGATTGATTCCAAGATTTAAAGGTGATCGTCTCCATTGAATTCATTACATGGAAAGTTTTCTTCTCTTCTTTAGGTTATCAAATGTAAGGCAGCTGTTGCCTGGGAGGCAGGCAAACCACTGTCCATTGAGGAAGTGGAAGTCGCTCCTCCAAAAGCCCATGAAGTTCGTATCAAGGTAATGAATCAAGGGTTGAGTTTTAATAGATCTGCACACGTGGACGTAGTATTCATTGCAGCTACTCTTAATAGCCAATGCGAGACCAATATTTTGGGTGACTACTTTTATACTTTACAATTCTTGCTTTCCATGATAAATGATAGAATCCAGTAATAGAATTAGTAATAACAATTGTAAGTATTTAGTAGACTGTCCATGAAATCAGTGGTGGGATTCAGCCGGTTCTGTCTGGATTGAGCGAACCGTTAGTGGCGACTACGGGAGGCTCCGCCCATTCACCCGGACCTAATGTGCGACTACTGAGCATGTGCAGAAGGCTGTGCGCATGCGTAGAGGTGGCACATGCGTGCAAAGTGCGCACGTGCGCGCTCACATTTGCAAACTGGTACGGAAGGTACCAGTTAAGGTACCTGCATGAAATCCTGTTGTAACAAATATATATAGAGAGAGACTCTTGCAGTTGCTTTGAGACATCTTTTTCTTGACTTGGTGACCTCCGGAAGTGTTGAGACTATGAGCCTCAGAATTCCCAGCCATGGGTTCATCTAGTGGAGGAGCCTATCTTAACAGTTATCAAATGTGTTTTGATGTAAGGAATAGACTAGACATGAACTTGAAGATACTACAGATTTCAGTAATGATCATTTATTGGTGTTGTGCTTCACATACTGTAGGCCAGTGATGGCGAACCTTTTCGGCACCGAGTGTCTGGAAGAACCCAGAGAAGCAGCTGGCCAGGGCGCATGCGCACACCCGAAAATGAACTTCCGGTTTCAGCTACTGAACTTCCGGTTTCAGCCAGCTACTATTCCGGGTTTCTGGCGCGCATGCGCATGTGATGATCAGCTGGCCGGTGCACATGCTCCCACAGGAAAATGGCCAGCTCTTCCAGTTTCTGGCACTGCCGCATGCAAAAAGGCCAGCTGATCGTCGTGCACGCATGTACGCCAGAAATCCAAAAGAGGAACGGGCAACACTGCGTGCCAGGCGACATGGCTCCACATGCCATCACGGCTGTAGGCCAAAGTTTCCCAACCTTTTCAGCTTTGGGGAGGCAGGGTGGAAGAGGGGATGGTTTCACTCGCCCACACCACTTCCACGGCCCAGTTCCAAAAGGCTCAAGGCCTGGTAGTGGGCCATGGCCCGCGGTTTGGGGACCCCTGACATAAGCTATTTCATAAACTGAAAGAAGATTCCCTGTCCTCCTTGATACAGCAGATAGGCTGAGACTGAGTTGTATTTATATCTCAAGTCCTTTTCTAGAGAACCCAAGAGTATTAGTCTTTTCTTTGCTTGCTTTATCTCATCACTGATCTAGGGTTAAACTGAATGGTAGAGATGGTTGAATGGTAATATGAATTATGTCTTTCCAGTTTCTGCTCTGCTGTTTGGATTCTAAATTTTTTCCTAAAACACTACAACAGAGAGTCCTTAAGGTTGCCTGCAGAAAAGCAGTTTGCCTTGGGGATTGTTTTAATGTTTAAATACATAAGCTGAATCCTGGAAATGTACTGTCTTCCTCTTTACCGGGGGTGTCCAATTTAAGGCCTGCAGGCCAGATACAGCCCATAGGGTGCTTAGATCTGGCCTGCGGGGCTGCCCTGGAAACAGCGAAGGACTGGCCCGCGATGCCTCTGCCAGCGAAAACAGGCTCCCAATCTCCATTTTCAGCTGGGACAGCCTCCTGCAACCCTCTGCAAGAGGGCCGCATGGGAGGGCCAACCTTCACTGGCAGAGGGTTGCAGGAGGCCATCCCAGCTGAAAACGGAAATTGGGAGTCCATTTTCACAGGCAGAGCACTCGGGCCGCCACAGGCACCCCTGACACAAGGGACATCAAGCCAGCCCACCCCGATCCCCCGAGGTCAAACACAACCCTGATATAGCCCTCAATGAAATCAAGTTTGACACCCTTGCTCTATACAATTATTCATTTTATCTTCCTAGATTATTGCTACTGCAGTGTGTCACACTGATGCTTTTACTCTGAGTGGCACTGATCCTGAGGGGAGCTTTCCTGTAATCCTGGGTCATGAAGGAGCAGGGATTGTGGAGAGTGTTGGAGAAGGAGTGACTAAATTTAAAGCAGGTAAGAAATTGGGTCTCTCGATGTTCCATCAAGAGGAATAATAGCATAATAAGAGGAATAATCTTATATAATGTCAAAAGTCTTGGTTTTTTCCAGTCAAGCATATTAGATGGCATGATTATGATATTGTTTCGGCTGCTTATGCATCTCTGCCTCAGGTTAGAATAGGTTATGCCTGTTCCTCAAATTTTTGTGAGGTTATGTGAGTCCTTGCCTTCGCCTACGTGAATTTTTATTTTTATAAATAAAACTTCTAGCACAAGGTGGGCAATTTGTAGTCTCCCAGAGTCCGCCAGATAAAAATGCATACTTTTCTTATTTTTTTGGTTTGCAGAATATGAAAAATCAATGCAGTGAGTTTAACACATTTTATTTTTTAAGGCAAAAAACAGAACCTCTCAAATAGGGAGTGGAGAGAATTGAATGATCTACCCAACCTCTTGTTTATTGTGTTCCTTGACATATCCCCTACAATCCTTAACCACCCAAAATAGAGAAATGTGTGAATAGAGGCGTTCTAATTTAATACACTGTACTTTTGATCCGATGAAATTATTATCTGTTTTTCAGGAGACACGGTTATCCCTCTATATATTCCTCAATGTGGCGAATGCAAATTCTGCTTAAACCCTAAAACGAATCTCTGCCAGAAAATAAGGTTGGTACTTTTCATTTTTCTTCCTGGTTTGTGTGTTACAGTAATCAAATGTGCTTTATTTGCTTTTTGGTAGAACAGTGTATGTGAATTCAACCCTGTATGTGTGCACATTTGGCTTATCAAGTGGAACAAGGAGGGGTTTGATATATTTTCTCAGTGCCAGGTTTATACAGACAGTCTGTTCCATAGAACACAAATGTCTTCTTGGCAATGAATGAAAGTTTTCATTGCCCCAAATAGTTCTTTGCCCTGTTGTGTCCGTGGATGGGGATTTATAATCCAGCTCACCTGAGGAAAGCTAACTCAAATGGAGGCTCCTTGTTGATGGTGTTCCTTTCCTAAATGCTCTGGTATATGCTGTAGATGAGAAAACTGGAAGACGCCTGTTTCCCGTTGCATTTCCAGTTGGGGGAGAATTTCAAAGCTTCAGAATTCCTTCAAAGCTCCTGTGTGTGAACAGGAGGTAGAACCTGGACGAGAAATCAGCTTGTTGGCAATCAGAAATAATACATCAATAGAGTAGGTAGGTAGGTAGGTAGGTAGATAGAAGGTGGGTGGGTGGATGGATGAATGGATGGTAGGTGGGTGGGTAGATGATAGATAGATAGATAGATAGATAGATAGATAGATAGATAGATAGATAGATAGACAGACAGACAGACAGACAGACAGACAGACAGACAGACAGACAGACAGACGTGTTTTCCCGAAAATAAGACCCTATCTTATATTTTTTTGAACCCCGAAATAAGCACTTGGCCTTATTTTCGGGCAGGTCTTATTATTTTGGGGTACATGAAGCGAAACAGGGATCCTCTTGCTGTCTAACCTGATTTCCAGCTCTGTCTCCCTAACCCTAACCAGAGGAAATGGCGGGGACTCGCTGCGCATACGTTTAAATATTTTCCGGGAGGACTTATTTTGTGGGGGGGGGTATTTTAGCACATGCGCTCAAAAGCCCAATTGGTCTTATTATCTGGGGAGGTCTTATTTTGGGGGAAACATGGATGGATGTTGAATTGAGCCTTGGTGCTCTCTGAGCTTGTTTGCTTGCAGACATTTCATTGCAGGTAATATCAATGCCTTGATTATCAATGAAATAATATATGTAAGGCAACTGTTGTCAGATACTTCCCACAACAGTTACGTTACTTATAGTTAAATTAAAACATGGTTGTCTTAATGCTGATAAAGATTGCATATGTTCAGTGAGATAGGAATGACCTTAAGCCCTAGGCCCAAGAGATTTCTATAAAGAGAGATCACGAGTTGATTTTTAGCTTACAAACAAAGACGCTGGCCAAGCAAGGAAGTATGTTTTAGTCGTGGGTTTGGTTGACACAAAAGGTTGAACAGTGGTTTGATTTATCTAGGAAGCAAGCCTTGCTTCTAAAAGTCACATTTCTGGTGGCAGTATGAATTCATTGGGGGAGATGAATTCCTTACTTCTATAAGATATGCAAGTAACAACTTTTTACTTGGTTTTATAGCTTATTTTTACAGACGTCTGCCTGTCCATTTGTATTTATAGATATAATTTGGGATTGCTCCAGAAGACACAAAAATGTGGCTGAGGGGTTGATGCCTACTGTGGATTGCCTGCTTGTGGCTTGTTGCATTGGCTACCATTGCCTGGGTTCACACAGCATGCTAAATCTTAATACATGGTTTACACATGGATTTTGTTTCATATAGGCTGCAAAGCTTATAACTAAATTTCATCTCGGTATGATGTGCCTAATCCAGATTTATGCTAACAAAAAACACAGTGCACCAAATCAGGGTTTTAGGTCTGTACTGCAGCCTGCCAATTAATGTATTGTGATACGTGAATGATGTAATTTTCCCACTGCAGGGTCACTCAAGGAAAAGGTGTGATGCCCAATGGTACCAGCCGGTTCTCCTGCAAAGGAAAGCAAGTTCTCCACTTCATGGGAACAAGCACTTTCTCAGAATACACGGTTGTGGCTGACATATCCCTGGCAAAAATAGACCCTTCAGCGCCATTGGACAAAGTCTGTCTGTTGGGCTGCGGAATTTCTACAGGTTACGGAGCAGCCTTGAACACTGCAAAGGTAGGACATCTGCTTCCTCTCAATTCTTTTTTCTTACAAGGTCATTTTAATCCTAAACTATTTTTTTAAAATTTATATTTATATATCCTATTTAGAGACCACCCCTCATAGAGCAAATCTGGGCGGTGATTATAATATAACACAGTGAGTAGGGCAGTGTTTCTTAATCTTAGCACTTTTAAGGTGTGTGGACTTCAATTCCCAGAATTCCCTAGCTGGCGCACTGGAGTTCTGGGAGTTGAAGTCCAAACAAATTAAAGTTGCCAGGGTTAAGAAATGCTAGAATGGAAAAAACATTTTAGGAAAGAATATTATTTATTTCTCCTATGACGATGAGCTGTGTGCCCTGTGCACTCCTTTTATCCCCCCCCCCGCCCTATATTTTAAATGGAAAAGAAAGCATGCATATTTCACTTGGAAGTGGACATTTTTTTCCTGTTTCTGTGTTTTATCAAAAGCTTTCCACTAGGCACTGTTAAGTTGTTATTTTCATGGAAGAAAAAGCAACTTGTAAAAGGTGACATTGGCTTCTGGGACATTGGCTGCTGTGCTAAGCCATGGTCTGTTGAATAAGCCATGGTTGGCTGGTTCACATGGATTTCTAAGCGAAAACATAATCACTTTAGAGTTCAGCATGCTGTACAAAGCAAGCTGTTATTAAACTTCACCAAGCTATCATTAAAAAAGGAAAAATGTACAGGCTCAGTCATTAAATTTGGTAAGTAAAGAAAGGCCTATACAGGTAGGCCTTGAAATAACCAGAAAGTTAGTAACCAAAGTTATGAGGGACTCTCCAAAATCTCCTTGACAACCTGATTTCAAATTTATGATGGCTGTGCGTGCACACACACACCACACATCTACACAAGCGCAGAAAGAGAAAGAGGTTTTACATGATTGCATTTTGGGTGCTTGGCAACCGGCTTGGCTTTCCGTCCATTTGCAGCATCACAGTCACATGACTCGTTGTCATGTGTCCCCCGCCCCTCCCCAGTTTCCAACATTTATTTCCAGTTTCTGCAAAACATGGTAAAGGAGTCCCTGTGGATTTTACTCCACTAATCGTAGCCGACTTTAGGAGGCAGTGCTCGTCTCTATTTTAAAACATGTCCATTTTTTAAAATGGATTCCCTTAACAACACAGCGTTGACTTAAGAACCAGCATGTCCGCTTAATGACCATAGCACTCAGTCAACAACCATGAGGGGAAAAAAAGTAATAAAATCGGATCCAGTCACCTGATGACCCACTTAACAATGATTAATTCCGGGCTCAATTATGGTCATAAGTTGAGGACTGCTTGTAGATCACCTATTCTAAAGCTGGTTTTTATAAGAAACTGGCTGGAGATGGTAGGAGGAAGATAGTAATTCACAGCACTCAGATCCAACTCAACTCTTTTTCCAGGCCTGTCCGCCATTTGTTTCACATTCCTGTTTTAAAAGTTGAGAATAGCGGCTTTTAGACAAGAACATCAGTATGTGTGTTCATACACTATTTAACAAAACCGTAATAGCAGCATTGCTTCTGATGCTACTTTTACGGTACAGTCTTGCAATAGTAGCCAAAATTGTGGAAACCTTTTGGGAAAAGTGTATTTTTGAGGTTTGATAGCTAATAACACCACTTTTTTTTTTTTTTTTTTTTTTTGAGTTTCAAGATAATCATATTCCACTGCTGGAATGGCCTGGGAATAGCCCAGACCTTAACCCAATTGAAAAGCTATGGAGCAGACTAAAGAAACTTCTTAGTCAGAAGCGACCCAGCAATAAAACCCAGTTAATAGAAGCAATCATTCAATCTTGGTTTCACATTATAATAGCTGCAGAACTAAAAGACTTGGTTCACTCCATGGGAAGATGTTGGAAGGCCGTAATTCATGCTAAAGGTTATCCAACTAAGTATTAACTGACGTGATAATTTTTGTATATCTTGTTTTTTCTCTGGTGATACTTTTTGTATATCTCATTTTTTCTATGTGTTTCACTTTTCTCCTTTATACTGTAACTACTATTCTAATAGCAAATCCTTCATAAAAGTTATTGCATTACATTCTTGGTTAAATTATCTTTCCATTGATATATAATTTTATGGTACTGCTCCAAAAAAAAAAGTGGTGTTATTAGCTAGTTTTAGAAAATACACTTTTCCCAAAAGGTTTGCACAATTTTGGCCACTACTGTAGTTAGGTGAACAGAGCAGCAGGGATGCCATTCTGCTTAGGGTCAAGCACATATGAAATAACAGAACAGAATAAGCAGGAGACCTTATACCATTTAAGACAAATGGCCGTCAAATCTCTTCCTAAAGAACTCCACTGATGGAGCACCCACAACTGAAGGCAAGCTGTTCCACTTATTGATTAGTCTGTCAGGAACTTGCTCTTTAGTTCTAGGTTGCTTCTCTCTTTGATTAATTTCCATTCATTGTTACTTTTCTTGCCTTCTGGTGTTTTGGAGAGTAGGTTGACCCTCTCTTCTTTGTGGCAGCCCCTCAAATATTGGAACACTGCTATCATGTCACCTTTAGTCCTTCTTTTCACCTTTATTCCACACCTTTGTGGAATAAAAAGCTAGCAATTAGTATGTAAGCAGATAATGCTTCCCGTTGTTAAGCTTTAGTCATATAAATAAGTCTTCTCCATGCTTTGGGAGCTGGTTTGCTAGTCGTCCTTCTCTGTGGCCAATAGCCTTTCTTCATCCTGCGTTTTCTGGCATTCTTGCTTTATACAAAAACACAGGTGTGCAGGGCCCAATTGGAGGAGGAGACACTGGCTCTGTAGTGGTAGAAGGCTGAATTTTCCTCAGTAATTGTTTTGAAAAGACATTTCCTCAGTGATGGAAAATAGACAGCCATGGGGACAATGTCATTCTTTCTCCTGCCTCTTTTATTTTACACAGGTAGATTAGTAATGCTTGACAATAAACCAGCTATTAATCCAGGTTAAGGGTGACATATAAAGCCACCGCAGGATAACTAAACTAAGAACAGACCATGGCTATGGATTGAGCATAATGCTTTCCGCATATTTTCCTCATGGCCCAGAGTTAGAAGAACCTAACCAGAATATGTAATGTGGATTTACAGACGACTGTTACATATTTTTTTTTTTTTAATTTGATTTATATGCCGCCCTTCTCCGGAGACTCAGGGCGGCTTACAATGTGCTCAGCAATAGCCTTCATCCTTTTGTATATTTATACAAAGTCAGCTTATTGCCCCCACAAACTGGGTCCTCATTTCACCTACCTTAGAAAGGATGGAAGGCTGAGTCAACCTTGAGCCTTGGAGAGATTCGAACCAGCAGTAAATTGCAGGCAGCTGTGTTAATAACAGGGTGCTTTAAACCACTGTAGTACCAAGGCTCTAAACTGGGTTAACAAAATCACAAATGAGGAGGTGACAAGCCACCTGGGAAAGCCAAGGGAAATAATCAAAGCCATTAAAAAGCAAAAGTTAGAATATTTTGGACATGTGATGCAACACCCAGAAAAATACAGCATCGTTCACTTAATCCTCCGGGGAAAGATTGAATGCAAATGAGGTCCAGGCAGAAGAAGAATATCATGGCTTCAAAACCTAAAGGACTGGTTTGGACAAAACTCAGTAGCACTTTTTCATACAGCTGTTGACAAAAATAGGATTGCCAACATGATCGCCAACGTCCGATGACAGATATGGCACAAGAAGAAGGAGAACCAGAATATAGCTTAATGTGATAAATGAACCTACCCAAATTAATTTTAAAGCACAAGTTACGTTTGTCAGTTTTAAAAGTTTTGAACTTTCCCTGTGTAAGAATTGTTTTTTGTAGCTTTCTTTCCCATGTCGTTAGTTCAATTGTCACATTTTCTTTAGGTTGAACCTGGTTCTACCTGTGCTGTCTTTGGCTTGGGTGGAGTTGGGCTAGCAGCTATCATGGGCTGTAAAGTAGCCGGTGCATCCAGGATTATTGGGGTTGATCTCAACAAGGACAAATTTACCAAAGCCATGGAATTTGGGGCTACAGAATGCATCAACCCTAAGGATTTCAAGAAACCTATTCAGGAAGCCCTGGTTGAATTAACAGATGGTGGAGTAGATTACTCCTTTGAATGCATCGGGAATGTCGGTGTGATGGTAAGCACAATCTGAGGCATCTTCCGTGGACCCACCATTTTTTTTTTATATATATATATATTTAAGCTTCTTCTAAATAAAAAAAGTGAAATGGGAAGACGGTATGTTACAAAGTATGGGTCTCTAGCGTCATCTTATTTACAAGGATACTTTTACAATATTGTGATGGTGCAGTATCTGTACTCATGCCTTGCTTGTAATTTTTTCCGCCTCCCAAGAAAATAGCCAATGTTAAACTTTGTATTGATAATCCTTTGGCTCTGGGATTATTACAGCAATAGCACTTGGACTTATATACCGCTTCAGAGTGCTTTACAGCCCTCTCTAAGAGGTTTACAGAGTCAGTATATTGCCTCCAACAATCTGGGTTCTCATTTTACCGACCATGGAAGGATGGAAGGATGAGTCAACCTTCAGCTGGTGAGACTCGAACTGCTGGCAATCAGCAGAATTAGCCTACAATACTGCATTCTAACCACTGCACCACCCCGGCTCTCATTGTTATTAACTCAGTTTTTTTATTATTATTATTATTATTAACTGAGAATCTGCTAAATATTTGTTTTGTGATTGGCCACAATCTTATGTTAGCTATTTTACAAGAGCATGGAAAATGTCTTCTCAGAATTCTAACTGTGCCCCCCCATTGAGCTATGGCCTTTCCTGTTTCTTGTGTTGCCTCATTTTCCCTTCTACATTCAACAGAGAGCAGCCTTGGAAGCATGTCATAAAGGTTGGGGAATGAGTGTGATAGTCGGAGTTGCTGGCGCTGGTCAAGAAATTTCTACCCGTCCATTCCAGCTGGTTACTGGACGAACATGGAAAGGGACTGCTTTTGGAGGTATAGCTGTGCTGGGATACAACCATTGATATTGCTGAGCTGGGATCTTTTCCATTGCCAGTCTAGCTAGTACTTGGAAGTTGGAACTCCAGCATTTGGAGAGCTCCCCCAGCAAGGACTGTTGCATTTCAGTCCCACCTTCTCTTTATTGAAAATAGGATATCTTCTCACTAATGTATTCTTGGTGCCCAGCTTTGTGTGATGAAGACTACATATAAGTCTTTTAGAACAGGAGTCACCAACCTTTCGGACCTCAGGGACCACTAAATGCATAATTTTAAATCCTGCGGACTATTAATATGATCTGCCTAATGACCGGCTGGGTGGACGTGGGTAGGTGGTCATGTGACTGGGTGGGCGTGGCCAATTCAATGTCACTCACATTGAGGGGTGCCTCGCTAGCCTCTACTCACCCCTCCCCTCCCAGCTACTCCTCCCCTCCCCACCTGGGTTCCTTAGGGCCCCAACAAGAAGCAGTTGTTGGAGCTAAGCAGCCACCATGAGAAAGAGTTGGCAAAACAGCTCAGTTCAAATTGGATCTGACTGAGAAGGAGGCTCAGTTGAAGCACCTCACTGAGGACTACGAGCATAGGCTTTCCAAGCAGAGGGAAGACCTGTGGGAGTGCAAGGCCAAGTACTGGTGCCTGGAGTTCAGTGCGCTGAGATGGTCAGCCAGTTCTAGGCCATGATGCAATCCCACTGGAACAAGACCCTCTGGCTCTTCGCCACCAGCGGCACTTCCCTCCAGCCTTTGCCAAAACCCCGGCACCAGGAGGCCGAAGCAGACCCCAAGTTGGAATTTCTGCCCCCTCCAACCCACACAAAAAGACCCCGAAGGGGGAGACTATCTGCAACAACACAAACATTAATTGCACGTATCCATCCCAGGGGCCGTAGTTTGAGGACCCCTGATTTAGTGCAATATAAAATAATGCAAATAATTTTTCTGTAGACACCAACATTTTCTCGTGGACTACCAGTGGTCCATGGACCACCAGTTGGTGAACGCTGTTTTAGAATGTGTTGGGAACTGTGTGTAGATAGTGGAGAAAATGAGTGTGGTTAAAGTAGACCTATCCAAAGTAAAAATATTTTTTCTTACATTCTGCCCAGCAAAATAGTATCTCCTCCATGCTTTTCCCCCTTCTTTTCCAGTTTAAATCCATTAAGTTGAAACTCAAAATTGGCAGCACTTTTAAGTAGTGACAGTTGTTACTGGTTATACTCCAATGTTCTAAAAAAAAAAAAAACTTTCTACAACTTCTAGAATGTATCCTTCTTAGATTATCTTCTATGTAAGATACATCTTTTTTAAAACAACACACAAATTATGTGGGGCACAACTCTTACTTATAAAGAAAATTAAATGTCCTTTCCTGCACTTACAATGAAGATTAAAAATTAGAAACTTGATTACCATTTTAGTTGTATTATAGGCCAAAAGAGGTAGAAGATCTGTTTTGGATTTTAAGATTGTTACTTTTGAATTATTGCCTGATATTGCTGTAAACATGCTTAATTAGGAGTATTTTCTCTTGTGCCGATTCTGCATTAGGTAGTAATTTTATTTCATGTCAGGTTGGAAGAGCGTGGAGAGCGTACCGAAGTTGGTAGCTGAATACATGTCCAAAAAAATAAAAGTGGATGAATTTGTGACCCACACTCTACCATTTGAGCAAATTAATGAGGCTTTTGAACTTATGCATGCTGGAAAGAGGTAAGGGTTTTGCTGCATATTAAGTTTATAACACAATTTTGTATAGGTCTTTTTAGAGATAATCCCTACTGAAGAATGGGCCTTATTTTTAGTTAGGTAGGCCCAAAATTACTGTTTAGTATTTAACCTGTACAACTGGCATCCTTTTTCTGGTTTTTTGTTTTTTTTCCCTTTTTGATAGCGGCTTGGCTTTTTATACTTTTTTTTAACCATCTCATGTTGCTTGGATCAACTGCCTTCCTTTGAATGGGAATGTCAGCACTATTTGAGATGACATCGAAACCTGACAGGGAAGTTATATCAGTATGCCAGTTTGGGTGCTGGGGTATTTTCCAAGATTTTGAGTTGATCCATTTAAAACTTTCTTCTGATGTGGGAGCACAGCTGTTTTGGCAAGACGTTAAAGCTATCTTTGCCTATAGAAAAGACAGCTTGTGCTACAGATTTTTTTTCAGGGCCATAAGACTGTAGTCTGATGCCTCAGAGAATGGCAAGTGACCAGAATCCTCATTTTAAATTTACCGGTAAACATTCTGTCTTTTCCTTGCAATCTTACATTGGGAAGAGGTTAGAAAGAGGCGGCAAAGGGTGAATTACAGAAAGAAACCCATTAATTTGACTGTTCAGTTGCACTTGATGGGAAAAGTTGCTGAATGCATGGAGGGCTACGAGATACTGTTACTTATCTGAAAAAATGACTAATTTAAGATGATCTTCTAAAACATACTGAAAATATATGGTGCACAAAAATCCTCCAGTTAGTGCCATTTCAACCTCTCTCTTCCTTTCCTTTCACTGGAAATGATGAAATAAAAAACTGGAAATGGGGTAAGAGAAAAGTGTAGCTAGGAAGGAAAGGGGAAAAAACGGTTTAAACTGCTGAGATTGATATGCAAATAGACTGCAATGCTGAGCATTCTGGGAATTGTAGTCCTCACCTCTGAAAAGTGCATAGGCTGGAGAAGAGTCGTAAGAGCATTGTTTTTACTGTACAATTATTTATGTTAGCTTGATTTCTCTTTAAGATATTTTAAGTTTAGAATACAAAATACTTCTCTATTTACCTTCAATAATTTAATTTTCTTCAATGTCTTATTTACCAGAAAAAATAACGTTGTCTTCTTGGTGACTATAAGCCAAGTCTTGCATAATTTGAGGAAAAATACAGCTTGTTTTCTAGTAAATATACAATAAGAAATCTTACTTTTGTGGTACAGTGTAACTGCACAGTTTGAAATTGTTTTTCTTTCCACTTTACAGCATCCGAACTGTTCTGAAACTTTAAAAAGTCTGAAGAAATAATGTTTAAAACCTTTCAACACAGTTTTTGGAATAATGGTAATAATCAAGTTGGAACCCTCCTCTGCAACTAAAAGCATTGATCATGCCTTAAAATAGCACACACTATCTGTTTTTGTTTTTAAAATTCTGTATACAATCTAACTTTTTCCATCTTAGTGGATCAGGAAATAACAAACTGTAGGTTTACGTAAAATCAGAAACTATTTTTTTAATACTTCTACTAATAATCAGTTTAGGATATCTTGGAAAAAGAATCATGATTAAAATTTGTCATTACCTTATAAGGATATATGTATGAAGGGTTTTTCTTCCCCCTTCAGATTTACCAATTATTCAGGAATTCTGCGGTAGTTCTGGTTTGTTTCAATAGAGGCAATGAAAGACAAGCAAAAAAAAAAAAAGTTTTACTATAACCAATGGATTGCGTGAATAGGCTGTGGTTTCCAAGAACAATTTAACCCTACGAATAAATAACACAACTCCAAGTTAGACCTATTATAGCTTTTATTCAATGGGGGGGAGTAACAATAAGCAGAAAAGTCCCATCAATTGATCTAGGCTACCCATACTCATATATTTCACTGATATTTGCTCAGAAATATATGTTGCATTCCAGCCTTCCCAACTGCCAATGCGTGCGACCACAATTCACATAATTTCTAGATTTCCCTATGACATAAGACAGTTCCAAGGGCCTGAGACATCACCGAGATGATTTGAAAAGCTGTTTCCGTAAGATTATAAAGGAAACTGTTTTTTGCTAATTAGAACTGGGTTTCACCTTTCTAATTAAATCCACTGCTGCACAGTAATTTTAGGTGTGGATATTTCTTTTTACATGTAGGGTACAATTCAAAGGTTCCTTATTTTTCTGGAATGTTAAAACATGTTTGGAGTTTTGAAAATGTTATGGGGCATTCTGACAAATGAGCTGAGATAATGGTGGTTCGTTTTACTGCAAACCACCTTTCTGGTTACCAGAAAGATTTGGGAGGAAAGGGTTAACTCCATGTCTTCTAAGTAGCAGTTGGAACCTAAAGCTTCTTATCTCCTAGAGCAGTTTGTCTCAACCTTGGAAGCTTGAAGATGGGTGGACTTCAACTCCCAGAATCCCCCAGCCAGCGCTGCTGGCTGGGGGATTCTGGGAGTTGAAGTCCACCCATCTTCAAGCTACCAAGGTTGAGAAACACTGTCCTAGTGAAAAGGTTCATCTCAGTTAGCATAACTAGGAACTGGTAAAGATGGATGTGAATAGCAAAACTACATGTAACAGACGTGCAGTAAAATTATCCTGCATTTCAACCTTTAAACCAGATGAACTTTCTCAGTCTCCTCCTCTTCAAAAGGTGGGACTGTTGGACCCATTTTGTGCAGTGACCAGAAATGTACTTCAAAGTAAGTGCCAACTACTATTTTGGGTCATTGGAGGTAGCTGGTTTACCATAACCAAAATGTCAGGGAGAGTCATAAGAGTCAATACTCTGACCCAGTGAGGCTAATTTTTTGCATCTGAGGCAACATAGTTACTATAGTCTACCAGCAGCTATAATTTGTTTTCTAAAAATGTCTTGGTATTTAATGTGCTTCAAGCTGTTGCTGGAAAAAAAAATTCGAGAAATGGAAGGCAGTGAACGTGGTGAACACACTTTGGACTATCATTGTGGGAAACCAGGTTAATTCGTGTGGTGCAGTAAGTATAGGACTCAATTGGCATGGTTCTAATTAGAAGCTCTTTTGGAGTTCCAACTATCACATCAAGCCATACTATAGTTTGATTTTTTTTAGCTTTAAGGGGGTTGTATGAAACCAACCAAAGGCTTGTAAATCATGGTTTATAAATCATGGTTTATATCTTATCTCGTCCAGCTGAGGTTCATTCAACTCAAATATATGAATCTAATAAAAATAAAGCCAAAATCAGAAGTCAGCATTGAAGTATATCTAAAATTTGGTTCTAGAAGCAAAAGTGGTGCATAAATGACATATTTCCTCATCTGGCACATTTTCTCTGCTGCTGTTGGTCCCTATCTGAACTTGGTGGCTTCTCTGTTCTACCCACTGGTCAAAGACACCATTTGACTTCCTTGGCCTAGTTCCCTTTGTTGCTGGTTTCCTTCCTTGTGATTCAGGTACCTCAATGTTCTGCCACATCATTCTGGCTTTAAAATTCAGATCCACTTTCTGGAAACTTTGTCCTCTTGGAACTTTGCAATGCTCAATTAGGTACACTGTTCTTCAGCTTTCCTTTAAAAGCCATGAAATTCCAGCAGTCCAGACATTTCAGCAGTCTTCTGTCTGGGTTCCTTTGCCAAATCTTCATTAACCAATGTGCCATATCTACCTATACACCCTTTGCTATTCTAACTCTTCTAGAATCAGCCTTTTTAAAGACTTCTGTCCCCCACAAATGTCTTTTCCAGGCACCTGAAGAATAAGCAAAGCATGACTCTCAGGGCAACAAAAGCACTTTCATTTAGCTGCTCTGTCACAACTGCATTTCTTACACGCACGCACGCACGCAAAAAGAACAAACTGTAGGCCAACCACCCATACTTTAAATCTCCTTTCAATAAATAAGTTACCCTTTTTGTCATATCTGTTCTAAGCCTCCAAAGAACAATAAAGTCAGATGCTGCTGATGGAAGCAGAGATCATTTAAACCGCTTACGATGATTTTATAACTAACACAGAGCAGAAATGAGCATATTATGCCCATGATTTCATGACTTTTATTTCTCTTCATTTCTGTTGCTGTACTTCCACACTGTATGGATGAAGTAGGCACCAGAATAAAAAATGTGGTTGAGAAATCATTCTCATTACAGAATACAATGCTAGATGGAAACAGCCACTGGCCAACAAAATTAAGCCTTCCCTGACATCAACTATGGTAAATCTGTATAACCAATTCATATAAAGTATGAGGGGACATTATCATACTATCACCTCTGTTGCTGGTCTAAGGACCTTTGGGGAAAGATGAATTATTTCCAGGGCTGTCCAAATCTTGCACATTTCAAAGGCATTATCTTTGCTACAACAGCTTCCTTTTCATGAAATATCACATTGGCCAGTTGCAATAGCACCTACACCTGGTTTGTCAAATGCCTAGGAACATTTCAGAAAAATAATTATGTGATAAAATGTGCCGTGGGAAACATGCAGCCTTATATCTTACTTTCCTGTCTGTGGCTCAGTTCTCATTACCACTGGCAAAGTTTTTCTCTTTAATGTGCAGTGAAGCTGATTTCAGTTGTTATGGACTAAAAAGTGACCATTTCTGATCCAGTTCCTGACAGCTGCATGCCACAATCCCAAAGTATCATTTGGGGTACCGTGATGAAATCAAGTGAGCCCTACAGTGGACAAACATTTGATCATGGCAATGAAGTCATATAAAGTCACAAATGTTACTATACATGGTAGACAGGAATTCTTTGTATTTTTTTTTTCTATTTCAGTTGGAATAAGAGTTTTTTTACTAGTGAAATTTTAGAACCTTATTGGCTGTCAAGCACTACCCATTTTAAAGCTGTAATTTGATAAAAGCTCAAACTAGGCAGGATCTTAGTAATTTTGGCCTCCCTGCCTCACTTCACGGCTTTTCACAGAGAACCCCTGGGCAAAGGCAAACTCTCTTCATTAACTAGCAGTTATTGTACTTCTATGTATAATTACAACAGAGGCAACCAAAATGGTTAGAAGGAAAGGCAGCAAGATTCTAGAGGGACTAGTACACAGTACTAGTTTCATTTTTGTAGTATATAATGCCACCTCTGAGTTGTAAACAGCTGAAAACCTAGCCTGTTTAAAACTGCCTTTGTAGCACAAGCTAAGCAGGGATTGCCTTTGGAACAAGTAAAGTTCAAAACCTAAAGTAAGCTCTCACATTCACCATGAAAACGTTGTCTTAGGTACACCACCTGACAACTGTGGCAGTGACAAAAATCATCTGAATCCCAGCTTTTTGTTTTTGCTGTTGTTTTCTTTTGGTGGGTGGAAAGGAAAACAAAGGGGTACTACTTGAAAATTTCTTTTTAAAAGTTCAAACAGTGTTGGGGTCCTCTGCATCAGATTCTTCCAAGTTGTACGATGCAGACTTGCATTTCCCTTATCTATAGGCAATGACAAGAAAACAGGTGATAAAATCCCCCTTCCATCCTGTACATTAGTAAAATGCATAGTACAAATGCTCATGTCAAGGTCGTCACGTGGCCTATACTAGCACTGGGTCATGAAGTGAGGACGAATGCTATCCAACCGCCGGGTTAAGATGTCACACCCAGTATCTGTGACTAGGAGTGTGTGCTCAAACTGAGCAGACCGCTTGCCATCTCGGGTAACTGCAGTCCAGCCATCGGGCCAGGTTTCATCCTGCCACCCACCTAATGAAGACAACGTAAAACAGATTCAATACGGAGAATGAACATAACACAACAGATAACAGCTTTTGCAATTGTCTATGGAGATTCTCAAACATCCAGTTATGGTTGTCCCAAAGGTGCTTTTTCCAAAAGGTTTTGTTCTTTGAAAACATTTCACTTCTAATCCAAGAACTTTCTTCAGTTGAAGAAGCAGCTTCTCAGATGAGAAGCGAAATGTTTTCAAAGAAAAAAAACCAAGAAACTCCAGTTGTCTTTTGGAAAAGTGCCTTTGGGATAGCCTCATCAATTGTTCATTTTTTTAAAAAAGAAAAACCAGCTTTTTACTGTATATCTTATAGCTTATATATATAGAGAGAGAGGGGGGGGGGAGGGAGGGAGAGGGAGGGAGGGGGAGAGAGAGAGAGAATGAATGAATGAATTAATGAATTTTGGCCTGCTTTTCATTAAGTAACATCTCTGGAAGTATATTACAGCCGATAACCCTGCTATTTTCTCCCCTACAATCATCTTGGAGAAAAGCGAATACATAGCCCCCTCCTCCTCTAATTTGGCAGGCAATTGTTCTTCACCCTCTAAGAACGGCCCCAACATAAGATGATTTATTGGTGCTGTTAAGAAGCTATTTTTCAATCAATTTCTAAGAGAAGACAACCTTTTAGCACAGGTTGATCTTTTAGCTAATGCTCATGTTTTTCCCAAAGTTTATTTTAATAACCATGAGGAAAAACTCATTTCCCAGTACACTGATCATTAGAATAGTTTTGCTATCTGGACAAATTTTATTCACGTATTCTACTCTGGGTATTACCCTGGTAATATAGACCATTTATAGGCTCCATATCCTTATTGTCTCTGCTTCCTTGCACTCTTTCAATTACTCAGTTTTTATATATTTTTATTTATTTATTTATTGGTTCGATTTATATGCCGCCCTTCTCCGGAGACTCAGGGCGGCTTACAATGTGTTAAGCAATAGCCTTCATACTTTTGTATACACCTGCTTAGTAGGCCTTTCGCCCCGCCCCCCAAGCGGTGTTCTTTTTAACAAATTATCTCTGTGAAAAAATATGCAAAAGGATCCAATATTTGCCAATTTGTGGAATATTTTTTTTAAAAAAAATATGATGCTCTCTTATAATTTTATTTACATACATGACATTCAGAGGTATATTTAATAATTCAATTGTGGAGTTTTTTAAAAAGCAAATTGCAACTACGGCTTTCTTAGAAATTAGTATGAGCTGACTAGAGAGACTGTAAGATAGTTTAAGCATAACATAAAAACAACCTAGGATATAATATTTTGTACCTTCAAGAAAAGATGTAACAATGCAAAAATATGCAGCAAGATTTCTGCTCAACATTTGAAATATATTTTGTTTACAAGATAGCAGTTCACCAGTGACTAGGAAATGTTCATACATATAGCTCCCAAATTAATTTCAAGAAATTTCTAGTTAGAAACAGAATTCCTTAGATTCATAACAGCATATTACCTTCACAGATCATTGGTTCTATCGTAAATGCATGGCCAGGCTTCATTACTCCAACAGCCTTATTTTCTGGGAAGCACAATAAAATGTTATCGGGAAATGATCAATTCTCACAGACAAGACAGGAATAAAATACAAGACAACGCTAAAGTACCACAGTGATATAGTAGTTGTACACAGTTTTTAAAAAACCCTTTCTTTTCTTTCATTTACTATAAAGTACTTTGGATAGAGGTTTGGAAAGCTGGATCCAGTATAAAATAATTCACCCAAAACAAAAAGTAGATAAAAAAAAATGAATTTACAAAAATCCTTTCTAATTTCCACTTCCCTACCTGCAGCTGCCAATCCTAACTAAAATCAAGTCTAGTGATTTCCTTCCCACCCAAATAAATGTATACATGCTGTTGCTAATGTGCTCATTTCTTTGGTAAGTGGGGTTATTATGTCATTGGTTTTTCTGTTTTTTTTTTTAAACTATTCTTGTAAACTGTCCAGAATCATTTGCATGGGACAAGCGACTATATAAATCATATAATAATTAAACAAAATACCTAGAATACACATATAAGTGAGTGTATATACTTGCTAAAATGTACATATTGAAAAAGGGCAGGGATTAGATAAATAGTCCCACAATTTAATAATTAGTATTTAAAACTTTCTATAAAAGCTACTCCACTTATAAAATTAAGAGATTTCCATCTGCATTGAACAATTTCATGCAGAACTGACAGAGGAAACGACCTTCTTGGTGTTACACAAAAGGGTTAATACAGTCACCTTCTTTGTACAAGTGAGGAAATGAACAAGAAACTACATCAAACCATGGCAAATATATAACAAGTTCCAGAAATGTCAAGATATAGCATTAGCCTGGCCCTTTTAAAGCAATTAACCATTGTTTTATGAGTTGTTCCCCTACTTTAAGGAAAGAATATAGAGCAGTGATCGCTAACCTTTTTGCCATCGCGTGCCAAGAGAGGGGGGGGAGGGTCATGTACGTGTGTGCCCACACTGATAATTCTATGCGGCCCGCCCTGTGCGCGCAACCCCCCACTTCCCCCGCTCCTGGCATGTGATGGCCTTGTAGGCCCGTTTTTCTTTCTTACCTGGTTCCAGATCCTCTCTATTTATCTGGGAAGGGCAAAAACAGCCTTTCTCAATCCCTCGGAGGCCCTCCAAAGGCCTGAAACGGCCCATGTCTCAACTCCCAGTGGGACAGGAAGTGACTTTTTTGCTGTCCTCAGCCTCTCTAGGAGTCTCTGGAGGCTGGGGACAGCAAAAAAGTCACTTCCTGTCCCAACGGGAGTTGGGACATGGGCCGTTTCAGGCCTTTGGAGGGCCTCCGAGGAGTGGGAAAGGCTGTTTTCGCCCTCCGCAGATGCATAGAGAGGATTTGGAGCCAGGTAAGAAAGAAAAATGGGCCTTCCCCATGCCCTCCCCAGGCCCTCCAGAGGCAGGAAACAGCCTGTTTCCCTACTTCTGGTGGGCCCAGAAGGCCTGAAAATCAGCTGGTCGGCACGCACATGCGCACCAGAGCTCAGCTGGCATGCCTACTGATATGGCTACACGTGCCACCTGTGGCACGCGTGCCATAGGTTCGCCATCATGGATATAGACAAAGTACGAGATATGTATATCCACATCTCATTTCTCAGTCTGGCCTATGTTAGCAGTCTTTAAACTAACTATGCCTATAAAAGCCCTGATTCTACCTGTAGCAAATGTGGGAAAATTTCATTATTTTCAATAAAAGCAATATAACTTCATAATGTATTTACAGTTGCACAAGAATAGAAGACATTCACTTATATGTGTGTTGTAGGTATTTTATTTAATTAGCTATATGGTTTATGTACTTGCTCATCTCATACAAGTGACTCTGAGCAGCTTACAAGAATAATTAAAAACACAGAAAACCCCATGATATAATAACCCCGTTATTATAGAAATGAGTATAAAATCCTTCACTGGCATCTGACCTTGTAGTAAGATTTACAACAGGATAACTATCATTTTACTATCCATCATTCTCCACATACTCTACTGAGAAACACTTCCGCCAATCAATCTGAATTATTAACTAGACTAGGAGAGAAGAGAAGCAGGCAGGCAGGCTAACTAGGAAAGAATGGGCTAGCAGGAAGAATTGTTCAAATTACTAAAATACAGGCAGTCCTTGACTTACAACAGTTCATTTAGTGACCGTTCAAAGTTACAGCAGCACTGAAAAATGTGACTTATGACCATTTTTCAGAGTTATGACCTTTCCCCATGATCACGAGATCAAAATTCAGATGCTTGGCAACTGATTCATATTTATGACCGTTGCTGTGTCCTAAGGTCACGTGATCACCGTTTTGAGCTCCTGACAAGTAAAGTCAATGGGGAAGCCAGATTCATTTAACAACTGCAGTGATTCACTTAACAACTGTGCCAAGAAAGGTCTTAAAACAGGACAAAACTCACTTAACAAATATCTCACTTAACCACAATTAAGCTCAATTGTAGTCATAAGTCAAAGACTACCTTTATACTGTTTGTGGAGCCACCCTTCAAGTATACATCCACAACAATACTAACTGGCTCAGCCAGTTAAGGTGCTGACCACAGTATTCTGATTATAAAATTAGCTTGTCTGCTTCCCAACCCATTTTAAAATGCTCGTAAGACTGAGACAGATATGTGAATGTCACTTCCAACGCCAACTTCACTGTCTTTTAAGGTCACCAGCTATAGAAACGTAGGAAACGATCAGGTTTACTGATTGCTAGCAACCCAACACCAGGTATTGCTTATACTTACTGGCATAATGTGGCACATTGGGAGCGGTGTGGAAAAGCTTATGAATCCCATGTCCACAGTAGCTGCGAACTACTGAAAACCCATTGGCTTGAGCATGTTTCTGTATAATATTTCCCAATTCTCTATACCGTACACCAGGCTTTACTGCAAAGCAATGCATACATTTAGAAATCACAATGAAAACAACGATCGGTATTTATACACATATTCTCTTCTTTTGCGCATGTGCACGTTCTCTCTCAAAGAATTACACAAGAGCTCAGAATTTATGATACGGGGGCAGGGGGGAGGAAGAAAAGGAAATTTTCTGATCAAATACTTTCAAATGTAAAGGTTTCAAGTTTGGACAGACAGAACATTTCAACAGAATACTCTCGGGGAGAACAAGCTTACTAGCTGCCCAGGCTACAAAGACAGTATCATTTCTACTTTTCAGACAATAGTTCCACAGCTACAACTATGGCATAATGCAGTTTGCCTTGTTTGTGGGATGGCTGTATTTAAATAGGGTGGCAGGCACCAGCTTAATTTTAAAAGAGGATAAAGTCACGGAGCATCAGGCTATAAACAGCTATTGGACTTGATGGCTGTTATATTACCTCTGAAATCATGAGCAGCATCATTTGCCAAATCTTAGGAAGCAACTGCTGGTAATCATTCTATATTTGTGAGCCTCCTGAAGGCATCTGCTTGGCCCTCAAATGACAATGAATGGTGAAAACATGGACCTCTGGCCAGGTTCAACCTGTGGCTTGGGTGATGGGTGAATCCAGTTGTTGTTTATAGTTTAGCATGATAGGCTCCTACTTTAATGTGCTTGTTTTACTGAACATTGTTTTAACAGTGTCTTGCAAAAAACCACGGTGGTTCTTATAGGCAAGAAAAGGGAACAGCGACAAAGCCTTCAAAGTGCAAGTCATAATATTTAGGGTAGGCAAGCCAACATCATGGCAAGTATGCCTCTTTTGTATTGCTTCTTAAGACTCTTTAATATTTTTAATTCTTTCTCTTTTAATTACCACAAGTAACATGTTTGTGCTTTAAGAGAAGAAAATTTCCTCTGGTTTTCTCCAGGATTAACTGTTGAGAAAAGTGTTATTTACGTTATTAGTCCACTATGGATTTTCAATAAACATGTAGCATAGTGTTCAACCCAGCCATTTAATCATTCCTTGGGCAACATAAAAAAACCCTCTGTGTCCTGTTTAGGTATGAGTATTAGTTTCCCCTGCAAATGCTAAAGCTTCAGGGGAAGAATTTTGATAATCAGTTTAATCTATTCTTTTGTTATGCAAGCTCATTGCCTGGATTTTGGAGAATTTGAACTGCCTCCAGTAAATGAATATTTTACAAGCTTAGGATGCCTAGAGAGATTATTAAGTTTCATCTTATGTTACATCAATTCATTTTCACTTTCTGCCTCAAAACATTTTTAATTTGTCAACAACATGCGAGGACACAGATTTACAAGAGAAACAGACTGCAACTGTTAGACATTCAGCAAAGAATTCTAAACTTGACATTCCATTAATGTTTAGCCAGTGCTTCTGGAAACGATCAATTTTCTGAAACTTTATTTAAGCCATTTATTGTGCTATTAAAATTAATCATTTTGAATAAACCAGTCATCCCCACCAAAAGGAATAAAATTACAGCAATTTGCAACACTGCAGCATGTTGATTGAGAGAGATTCCTTAAGGGAGGCAAGACTCAATATAACCGATCTTCTGTCTATAATGTGTAAAAAAGAAAATCAGGCACAGGTTTCAGAAAGCTCTTACCTGCATCAATTGCTTGCATTAGGCATTCATATGTTGTCTGAACTAATCGTTTTGCACCCTCATCAACTTCTCCAACATAAAATGTCTCATTGAGATCCCCATGATAACCATTACGATAAACAGTAATGTCCACTACAAGAAACAAAGGGAACACTGCATTTTCCATAGTCTGTTTTTGCAATCCTAACAAGGCTATGGATCAAATATCAAAAACACATCACAAAATCAGAAAGCATCATGCGCGTGCCCCAGGACTCAGCTCTTTTTCTCCTATTTTATTTGACATTTACATGAAACCACTAGGAAAGATAAACCATCAGTCTAAGGCAAGAAATCACCAACATACTGATGACACTCAGCTGTATAGTATCTGATGGGTGCTAGGCTCTAGGGGGAAACGATATTAAGACTCAGATGAAATCCCAGCAAGACAAAATGACTGTTTATCCCAAAAATTACCTAGAGCCAATATAATTTCATATTTAGTGTCTGATGTGATTCTAAGTCCCTGAAAGATTTTATCTGGAATCTTGGGTTTCCTGGATTGAAAGCTCCTCCTAAAACATCAGATAGAGCAATGATGGCGAACCTATGGCACGTGTGCCACAGGTGGCACGCAAAGCCATCTCTGAGGGCACGCGAGCTGTTGCCCTAAGTCAACTCCACCGTGCATGTGTGCACCCCTCCCCCCACTGGCCAGATTATTTTGAGGTCCCTGCAGAGACGCACGCGCATGCACGGGGGGCAGGGGGGGTCGCGCGTGCATGCGCAGGGGCGGGGCACGGAGGCATTGCATTATGGATATGGGCACACCCCTACATGCTGTCGCACGTGCACACATGCTTTCGGCACCTGAGGGAAAAAAGGTTAGCCATCTCTGAGATAGAGACTGGGCCAAGGAAAGCCTTTGCCCAGCTACAGGTGAGAACCAAATGCAAACATTTCTGCAAAAAGATGCTCAAGTGGTGATTATTTCTGTCCTTACCACCTCACAGTTGAGTCAAAATAATCTGTTTTATTTGGGTTGCTTTTGAAGACAAAACAAAAACTAGTCCAAAATGCAACAAGTTGACTGTTGATGTCTCACACTTGAGTCAGCAGACTTTCAGACTGCATTGCATATGAATATTGGAAAATTAGTTGAAAATATAAATTGCTATACCAACAACATGGTAATCAAAAGCCTCCTCGTTTAATGTGGAATTATCAGGAATTAAAAAATAAAAAGGTCCTATTAGTTCAGATTAAAAGTTTCTCATGGTGATTACCAAAAGGCACCTGAAGAAATAGCCATAACCTCAGCATGTAAATATAATTTACAATCTGCTATGGCAATGCAAGTATTGTTTTTCAGACTGGTAAACATTCAAGGGTCTCTTATGTATACAACCAGTTGCAAAACTCCCATTTTCAGTTCAGGCTCCTCTCAAAAAGCTTGATAACCAAAAGGGACAGTTAGTTGGAAGATGCAGAGACTTTTTTTTAAAGAAAGGAATTGTTATAAAGGTTTAAGGCTTTAATTCTGGACAAATATAAAAGTTGTAGAAAAGAAACAAAAAGAACTTAATCGGTTGCATCTGTATACAATTACCAAGTAGGAGATGAATGCACTATGACCAGTAAGCTTCCCCAGCAGAGTTTTTTAAAATATCAAGAATAAAGCATATGTTTTGGAGTTTGGTAATCCCCAAAGCAAAACAAAACTAATATTTTAAGAAGGATATCATCATTGGATAGATGTTTACATAAACTCTCTCTCCAATGGCAATATCCTTCCAAAATCCTATTTCCTATGAAAATATTTATTTGATGTTTCCTACCATTAACAATATCGCCTTCTTGTAAGCGTCGCCTGTCTGGAATGCCATGGCAGATGACTTCGTTTACTGATGTACAGCAAGACTTAGGAAAATTGTAATAATTCAGTGGCGATGGGTAGCAATTCCTGGCAATACATGCCTGAAAAGAATTTTAAATAAGCTTTTCACTCAAAAATATTCCAAAGTGTAATTTTAATAAACGCAGCAATTTTAAGCACGCATAATTTCTGAAAGATGGACTAAAATCAACTATATAGGATTAGACAATTAATCTCTCCCTGGAACAAAGATCTATTTGAGACCCAATAGCATTTTTAAAGGGACATGGTGGCTCAGTGGCTAAGATGCTGAGCTTGTCGATCGAAAGGTCGGCAGTTCAGCAGTTCGAATCCTTAGTGCCACGTAACGGAGTGAGCTCCCGTTACTTCTCCCAGCTTCTGCCAACATAGCAGTTCAAAAGCACATTAAAAATGCAAGTAGAAAAATAGGGACCACCTTTGGTGGGAAGGTAACAGCGTTCCGTGCACCTTTGACGTTTAGTCATGCCAGCCACATGACCATGGAGACGTCTTCGGACAGTGCTGGCTCTTCAGCTTTGAAACGGAGATGAGCACCGTCCCCTAGAGTCGGAACGACTAGCACATATGTGTGACGGGAACCTTTACCTTTACCTTTTTAGCATTTTTAAAATACACATGATGCCTGACAACATATTAGCTTCCCTGGTTTTTTTTTTTATTTTAAGTATTAGGGGAAACTCAAGTCAGGTAGTACAGTGTCTGGCAGGTTTGCAGAAAAGTCTCAGGAATGCACTGGTGCTACAGGTGTAATATTGAGAATCTATGAACTAATGTTACATAGCCACTCCTAACTATGCAGGACATTAGTAGGCTGGATTTTTTTTTAATTAAACACAGTATCTAAGCTTTAAAATATGGTAACTAAAATAGAACCTCATCAAAGTATCCTTACTAAATGAACAGCATGATCTATTTCTTCAGTGGTTACACCTGGCTTCACCATCATGGCAGCAACATCTAAGACTTCTCTAGCAAGCTGCAGATAAAGGAACAGAAATTATTCATAATGACAAATAATTTACATGGAATAAATATAAATACATATAAATATGTAATTAAATTTTCAGAGGAAAGCATGCAAAGACTTTTCCTTTTAGATTCCACTTCATTTTAACTAATGTTGTGCAGTATATACTTACCCTACACACAACTCGCATCCCTTCTATATCTTCTGAAGAAAGGATCTTTATCTGAGAAGTTCCTTTAAGGGTCTGCTCTGACTCGGACATACCTAAAAGAAAGGATTACTACCATTATGATAACTAATAGATTGATCTCCCATGTTTCCTCCAGAAAGCTCAAGGTTAGAAAACTTATAAAGCTGTCCTCTTATTTTATCCCAACGACACCCAATGAGCTGAGAAATGATTATTCAAAAATCACTACAGAGCTTATGGTTCAGTAGGAATTTAAATCTGTTTTTTTCCAGCCCCAGATTTCAACTATTACATTATACCAGGAAATGGTATCTATTCACAATAAATTTTAGAAACAAATGCATGTTGATTGCATGCAAATGCTGTGGAAGATTTACTTCCAGTAAACTACCACAGCATTCACAAATAAATCAATGGTTAATATAAATCAATGGTGTGACCACATCTGGAATAATGTGTGCAGTTCTGGGCACCACACCTTAAAAATGATACAGTGGAACTAAAGATTCAGAAGAAGATAATGAAGGGGCTGGAGCAGTTTCTCTGCAAAGAGGGGTTGCAATATTTGGGGCTTTTTAGTTTAGAAATGAGACAACTGAGAGAGAACATGATTGAATTATACCTACGATGTGGATAACAAGAACAAGGAGAAGCTTTACTCTCCTTCCCAAAAGAACCAGAGGTCACCCATTGAAATTGAATCTTAAAAGAATCGCGACTGACTAAAGGAATTATTTTTTTACACAATAAGCCATTCAACTTTGGAACTCACTATCACAAAATTTAATCCTGGCTACTGGTTGGATTCCTAAGAGTTGGGATCAATGGCTATTAGCTTGATGGCAATATAAGTGCTTCTGAAGACTGTCTACTGCAGGGGTCTCCAACCTTGGCAACTTTAAGACTTGTGGATTTCAACTCCCAGAATTCCTCAGACATCTTTGCTTTGCTTTGCTTTGCTGACTGAGGAATTCTGGGAGTTGAAGTCCACAAGTTGCCAAGGTTGGAGATCCCTGGTCTACTGGAAGACTAGAGAGCTTTCCTGTGCAATTGGTTAGTCATTGTCAGAAGAGATTACTGAACTAGATGGGCTAGGGGTCCAGTCTAGTTGGGCAGTGCTGATCTCTTATATATGGTTTGATCCAGATGAAAATTTGGAATGCTCTGATGTTGAAATGTCGGTACCAGAATGTTCCAGTTCAGAATGGTAGGTTTTGCACATAAAGCCTGCAATTATATCTGAAATAATTTTAAAAGATAAAGGGTATTAATAAAAGTAAAATATAAATCAGGAGCAAAACAAAGAAACCGTGGATATGACACGTCTTCTTATTTGAACTTCCCTTTAATTTTTCTCAAACATTTGGCAGAGTTATCTGGCGAAATATTGTGACCAAATGTGTGTTACCCAACAGAAGGATGGCTAATGCTTGTTTGTGAAATTTTTAAAAAATCACTTCTGCTTGAAATTTTTTGTTGTTGTTGTTGTTTTTCTAAAGCAACTAGTCACCAAACCTGCAGCATAATACATCCAAATGTTTTCGAGACGTACTCATTCTGAAAAAGAAATAGTTAACACAGTTTAAATTAATCACAGGCTCAACAAATGAAAGTTGTACTATGCCTATAATTACCTAAGGGGTGATCTGCATAATCTGGCCTTTGAATGTAACTCGGCACAGGCCTCATTGGCATCTAAATAAAGCACAATTAAGATCTGTTTAAACATATTTATTAGCTTAGTCATTCTGAATGTGGATAACAGTTGCTAGAAAACAAACTATAAAATGGATATTTTCAAATCAAATGAAGGCATATATTAAAATCTCCCATCCAAGAGCCGCAAGCCAAGTGTGTTGTTTGATGAGCCGGTGTCAGATAACAAGAAACACAACAATGGGAGACATCAGCAAAAGTAACTGGGAGTCAGCCTAAGAGTCTAAAAAGAGGACAATAATCCAAGTGGAACAGATGTTGGGGAATCAAAGAGAAGAAACTGAACTGGAACCAGGAATTAGAGACCCGGGTGGATAAAAATCGATGATTTTTTTAAAAAAAAAATTAAAAAAGGATTTTTAAAAATTTAATCGGGTTTTTTTAATTTTTTTTTTTATCGAATTTATTTTAATAAAATGTTTTTGGAGTAAAAATATCTATCTAAAGATAGTTTTCTATTTAAGATACATCAATAATTTAGTTTATCCAGCATGAAATGGAGCTTAGTTATGTAGCATGCAGCTGTATATTCTGCAATATTTACATTTTTGGTAAACTCATTCAATGAATCCGAGCTCTGCAAGTTAAATAGGAAACCTTCATTTTGTTTGCAAATAATATTAAAGATTCTAACTACCGTAAAGCAGGAATCCTCACATTTAAAGAGCACCTGTCATTTCAGTCATGGCAGCGCCTGTTAGCGGGCATCCACTCACATGCTGCATGCCACGTCCCTCACCTTGTTGTGTCCCTGTTGCATCACCAGGCATCCCATTAAAATGAATGGGACTGTCAGTGAGACAACAGCAGGTCAGAGGAGCTGCTGCTGCAGGACAGAGATGACAATTGCTCTTTAAAAATTATGATGTAAATCAAGTTGATTTAAATCAAGCTTTTTTGCTAGTGGTTTAAATCATGATTTAAATCAAATCCACCCTGTTGGAGATAAAGACAAGCGCACACAAATGTCCTTAGCAATTCTCAGCCTTTCTCTCAAGAAGTGGATGAAGAAGAATCAACACTGAGCTCCAATCACATTCCTCTGGGGATCCTTAGCTCCATGAAGCCTGATGCACCCTAGAGAAAAAAATGTTCATCTCCTGAGTAACCCTCCCAAGATGTCTATCTTTAAACCATTCTGTATGTTGGTCTGAAACCTAGTAATCACATTGAACTCCTGGGCTCGGAAATCAAGAGAGTTCTTCTAGTTTAGATGCTCAAATTACAGGCTCAAAAGACAAAGGAAATACTGTTTCTGCTTCTGGTTCAGTCTAACTCTTTAGGAAATAGGGTTCTCTTAGTACTCAAGTTGCCCAATCCTACCTCTCTTCCTCTAATGAGGATTTATCTGAAGTGGCTATAGCTTAAAAATCCTGAGCTATAGGAATGAAACCCAAATAAAAACATTTTAAAAAATAGTCATTTGGACAATAGCCAAGTTTTCAGTAATTTCACCATTCCTTTTTATAGCTATTGAAGTAATTGTATATTTATGACGTTTCAGTTTGACAACATGATGTTAAAAGAGGCAAAAGGGAATTCAGTTACTCTGAATAACAATGGGATACCACATTAGTTCCCAAGGCATTATGTGAGCCTTCCAAAAACCTTCCATTGAACTGTAATATTTAGGGTGGCAAAAGGAGAAAATATTAAATGTGTACTGCTTCAATTATATTTTGATATGCATTTTTGTTTCCTTGCTTTTTGAGTTGAAATAACAAGCCCCAACAAGATAACATGCCCTTGCCTTTAAGGATTGCAGAAGCACTGCAGGAAGCCTGTTGCTCTAATTGTTTAAAAAATTTCTAGTTTAAACTGGATGTTTCAAAACATTGCACTAAGAACTGCAGCTTCTATACAGAACCAGTATTCCAAATTTTCTATAGACTCACCCAGCAAGACAACAGACTAGGAGTTCTCATTTGTATTAAAGTTTGCAAACTGGCAAAGACATTAGTAAGGACATTTGTGTGCACTTGTCTTTGTCTCCAACAGGGTGGATTTGATATCATGATTTAAATCAAATCCACCCTGTTAGAAAAGTATTGGCAATTATTTATGTAAAGCAATTTCCTATGTTCCCAAGTATGAGGTCATAAAAGCCTTTTGAAAACACAGAAAACACATTCTGAAATCGGTTTGCAAGTAACAATGATTTGAGAAACCATAGTTATAACTATGACTCAGAAGAGCCCAGCATAATAATATAACTGTAACTAAATCATGACTGCTTGAGCGGAGAGAAAATGGAAGCATAAATAAAGAAACTTAAACCATGGTTTGTCTTCATAACTTGAAGCACAATCATGATTTAATTCTGAACTATATGCAAATCAAATTTTAATTTGTATTAATCTAATACAGTGCTTCCCAAACCTGGGTAAATTGTCTAGTACTGGGTATAAGTTTTTCTTTGGCTTCTTCACATGAATTATTACCTAATTACAACAGGGACATTTAAATATGGACTTTCTGATAAGTGGTAAAAAGGACTTTCTGGTAAATGATTTAGGTAATGAAGGAGGGACGTACTGCTCTAATATACAGAATATAAGTTATTCTATCTACATTCCTTTTTGATTCTGCAATCACCAACTACATTACCACCATAATCAGCCACTGCACCCATGAGAACAGAAAATTATTTTTTCAAGTTAGTATTTCTTCAAAGACTAAGATACTGTTGTACATGAGTTCATCTCCTAGCAAAAAACCTAAACATTCTGTTAGCAGTCTTTCTATCAGGGCAGGAACTGAATTATTTGTCAGTCCGCTCTACGTGGTTATTTTATGAGTTCACATTATGGCTTAATGCTACATTCAAAGCAAATTACTATGGTTTATTCAAAAACCATGTTTAATTAATCCTAGTTTAATATTATTAGTTTGCAGCAATCCAACCAGCACACAAGTAAGCAATTCAGCAGGATTCATTTATATAAGAAACTTCTTTATATACAATACCATACAGCAGAAACCAGAACCAGAACTCAGAATCCAGAAGTACAGAATCAATAATCACAGAAGTATAGAATCACAGAAGCATTCATATATATACAGATCAGTGAACCTAAGCCACGCCCAGGCTCCGAGCCATCTGGGTCACCAAACAGTCCCCATTGGCTGACCTGTTACCATGTCTATTCCAATTCATGAACCCTTATATACTGACACTCCTCCCTTCATGACTGGAATAGACATAAAACTGCTACTTTTACGTTTAAATCCTTTAACAGCTGTATGTACCAAGTTACCTTTGGCTTTCTCCTATATAGCACTGCATACGGAGTATTATTAATAGAGGAACTCCACAGCCTATTGATTAAATAATTAGCAGTCAACATGGCTTCACATCAATATGACCTGCTCAGACCAGAATCCTCCAGCAGTGAGTCTTTCATTGTTTGTAAGACACCATTGCACCTCTCAACCATGCCATTCTCAGCTGCTGTGTACGGATTTGTGCATCTGTGTTTTATTCCTAACTGTCCCAACCACGACTGAAAACTTGCTGACATGAATTCCGAACCTCTATCAGTTTGCAGCTGACATACTTGTTTATATCTCCTTTCTATGAAGCTTACCCATTGCTTAAATTTCTGTAGCACCTCTATTTTACTCTTTAGTAAATAGCAGAAACCAAATCTGCTGTAGTCATCTACAATGACCAGCACATACTTTGCTCCTCCCAAACTGGCTTGCATTGGCTCAACCAAATCTGCATGTACCAGCTCTAGACCCTTTCTTGTCTGCCTTGTGCTACTTTTGCCTACTGGAAATGCCTTGGACTTTGATTACTTACATACTGCATAGTCCAAGTATGCCTTACATCCTTTTAAGTTTAATCCTTCTCCAAACTGTTGCATCTTTTGCAAAACTCTGAAGCTGGCATGGCCAAGCTTTCTGTGCAAGAGATGATCTCATGAATCATGTGCCACATTTCCAAATGTTTGGACACATTGAACCTTTTGTCCCTGCAACACATAAAGATTATCCTGCTTTATGCCCTATGCACATACATTCCCATTTCTCTTTGTGAGACACTTCCTATTTACAAATGTGGTCTCAAACCCCTTTTGGTCTAGACTAGAGACTCTCAGTAAATTATGCTCCATTTCAGGCACACATAATATATTGCTAAACTTTTCCTTCAGGCATGGAATCACCACACTGCCTTTTCCAATGACTTTAGCCTTCTGGACATTTGCTAAGGCTACTGCATCTCCTCCAGCTGGATCTATTCTGAAAAACAATTTAGAATTATTAACAATTGTTTGACTTGCCCCACTGTCTATTAATCATTTGTCTCTGCTATTACAATAACTAACGTTTGCAACAGCAGCCTGTCCATCTGTTGTATCTTTTCTTTGTAAACAGTCTTCCTTCAAATGAGTCTTATCACCACAAATGAGACACCACTGTTCTGTTGCTTTCTTTATAGAAAATCTTTGCTGGGCTGTAATCTGGTCTCTTCTGTTAATCTAGTGTCTGCAGACATGCTATCTGTTGCTGTTCTCTCTCTGCTCCTTGGGCCCCATCTCAGGAATTTCTCCTCGTGACTTTTTCTAAAATGGTGTTTATTTTCTTCTGAAATCAAACAGGCTTTAAGAGCCTCCTTTCTTAAATCCTGTTCTTGTTTCCACTCAAAAACAGTTGAAACAACGTCCCATGTTTCATCAAGACTATTTAACACCAACAGTACCTTCTGAGATTCAGGGATCTGCATTCTACTCTGTTCCAACTCAATGAATAAAATCTGCATATGCAGCAAATGCCTTTCCACATTGTCTGGTGGTTGCAACCGGGCTCTGTATAATTGTCTTGATAATTCCACAATATTGCATGCTGACACACTCACATGCACACTTCTTAATTTCAGCAAACCTCTTTTGCAGTTTTTAAATTAGCTACATTCAGGAATTGTTCATCTTCTAAATTTAAGATGATGTAGGCCAGTGCCTTATCATGCTGTCTTTGATCTGCTGCTGCTAATGGCCCTTGGGGTGGATTAACAACAATATCCCAGAGCTTCTCAGCCTTCAGGAAGCATTCCATTTTTGCAGCCCAAATAACGTAATTCTTCTGCCCCAATTGAAGCAGAGAGCTCTCTTTGAATTCAACACCTATCCTGCAAGCTTCTCTGCCTTCTTCCTTTTACTTTTTTAACACAGGCAGTCCTTCAGCTTAATTACAGTTCAGTCTTACTGTATCTGGTGTGCTCTGGGCCCATAACCTATTAAGAGTTTCAGCAATCCAACCAGCACACAAGTAAACAATTCAGCAGGATTCATTTATATAAGAAACTTCTTTATATACAATATCATACAGCAGAAGCCAGAACCAGAACTCAGAATCCCGAAGTACAGAATCAGTAATCACAGAACTATAGAATCACAGAAGCACTCATATATATACAGATCAGTGAACCTAAGCCACGCCCAGGCTCTGAGCCATCTGGGTCACCAAACAGTCCCCATTGGCTGACCTGTTACCATGTCTATTCCAATTCATGCACCCTTATATACTGACCAATACATTATTAGTCACTCCCTATACTATCTGCACCTGTCAAGATTTAAAAAGGCCTTAAAATACTTTTTTCCCAGAGCCTATATGAAGTTGGAAGACCTCTTCTAAAAATATATTTTAAAATGTCTGATTTGTTCTCATCAAATTGAGCTGCTGTTTATATGCACAATCATTTCCAAGCTGAGAAAATATTTGCAGAATAAAACCCAAATCTTCTATTATGGACTATCCACTAAAACAGATATGACTAATGTTTCTTTTGTTCTATATACAGCTGGTCCTTGACTTTAGAATACAATTGGAATCAGAATGTCTGTTTGTTAAGCAAGGCGATTGTTAAGTGAGTTGTGCCCAATTTTACAACCTTTTTTGTCTGAGTTGTTAAGCGAATCACAGCAGCTTTTAAGCAAATGATGCAATTATTGAATTTGCTTGTCAGAAGTCATCAGGGAAGATTGGAAATGGAGATCATATGACTCTGGGACACTTCAGTTGTTGTAAATGTGTATGCCAGTTGCCAAGTGCCCGAATTTTGATCAAGTGATCATGGAGATGCTGGGACAGTAATAAGTGTGAGAAATAGTCATAAGTCATTTTATTCATTTCCACTGTAATTTTGAATGGTCCCTAAATTATTGGTTGTCAGTCAAGGACTACCTGTACTGGAGTACTATGTTTCTAAAAGGGACAGCATATTGCTATCAACAAACAAAAAATCTTATGGCATTTTAGAGATTAATAAACTTAAATTTATACAGGTAGTCCTTGACTTACAGTTCACTTACTGACTGTTCAAAGTTAAAATGGCATTGAAAAAAGTGACTTATGACTATTTTTCACACTTATGACCATCACAGCATCCCATGTGATGGTCATGTGATTTACATTCAGATGCTTGGTAACTGGTTCATATTTATGACGGTTGAAATGTCCCAGAGTCATGTGATCACCTTTTGTGACCGTGTGACAAGCAAAGTCAACGGGGAAGCCAGATTCACTTAACAACTGTGCTAATATAACAACTGTAGTGATTCACTTAACAAAGGTGGCAACAAAACTTGTAAAATGGGGCAAAACTCACTGTCAGCCCTGGTGTGCCTGGAGGCACAGGGCTGCCATTCTGGTGGGGAATGAAGAAGCCAGGACTGCCTTTTCTGGTGAGCGCAATGCCCACCGCACACTACACCCACCGGATTGCTGGACCCATGCCAAAACCGACAGTTGGATGGGTGAGGACAAGCCAGAGCCAGCTGACCCATTGCTGATGACGAAATTGCTGTGAACAGTTGTAAGGTGGCCATGTGGCTGAGAAGCAGGCAGACGCCTGAGCGCTGCGTGTGGCTGGCATTTGGACTCTGCTAGATTCCCTGCTTGCTTTCAAGTGACCCAGATTGTGGAAGCCTGAGGGGTGGGGGGCGTGCATGGGTGGATGGGTGGGGCTAGGGAAAGATTTAAACAGTGGGGAGGGAACTGGACGGTTAGTCCTGACTTTTTATTTCAATTGATGAACATCAGTTAGTGCCGGGGGTTCGTGAGAGAAATAAACCATTACACTTCAAGACTGTGTTCTTTGGTATTTTTCCTCATGCTTTAGACCGAAATCTGACGCTCACTTAACAAATTTCTCACTCAGTAACATAAATTTGCTGTCGTAAGATGAGGACTTCGTGGAAGTGGACTCGATTCATGAAAGACAAATAATAGAATTTGTTAGCTTCCATAAAACTCTCTTTAATGGATAGTAGGATAAATACATTATGGTAAATAACTATCAAAATTGTTTAACATGTACACATCTTTAAAAAAATAATTGGACAATCACATTCTCAAACTGGAAGAAATATCATGAAAAAATTAGCTTCCTGTGGTTTGACTGGTGGAAAAACTGAACAAAGTGACACATTTCAGTTATTTCACCCTATTTACCAGTGGATAATGTGGCCTGAGTTTCCCAGTATATCGATAACCAGCCCAGGGATCTGTGTTTATGTCTCCATCTATAGTCCAGGCAGAAACTTCTCGTTTTGCTTTCTCGTCTTCTATAAAACAAAAGTAGAATCATTACTGATTTTAATTAAGAAACTTCATCGAACATCAGAAATTGAAAAGTTAGATGGATAGATGGAACTTCTTTCCACTCTCTTTAGAGCTTTAAATTCCGCCCTCCCACCATGCTTGCTTTTCTTGTACAATCTAACTCGGATACTATTTGTATAAAGATCATTTTTGCCAAAAAGTTATAAAAAAGAAATAAATCCAAATCAGTACTAAAGCACCAGCCTAGTCTTGTCCTGCCCGTTTGCAAGATTCACTATCAAAACTCTACTGTTCCAATCATACTGTGTCTTTATTTTTCAGTTCCTCTGTCTCCCTGAACTCATTTTTAAATACAGGTGCCTCGGCTTACAACAGTTCATTTAGTGACTGTTCAAAGTTAAAACGGCAATGAAAAAAGTGACTTATGATCGTTTTTCACACTTACAACCTGAGTTACCATCCCCATAGTCATGTGATCAAAATTCGGATACTTGGCAACTGACTCATACTTATGACCATTGCTATGTCCTAAGATCATGTGATCACCTTTTGTGACTGTGTGACAAGCAAAGTCAATGGGGAAGCCAGATTTACTTAACAACTGTGCTACTAACTTAACAACTGCAGTGATTCACTTAACAACTGTGGCAAGAAAGGTCATAAAATGGGGCAAAGCTCACTTAACAAATGTCCCACTTAACAACAGAAATTTTGGGCTCAATTATCGTCTAAGTCGAGGACTACCTGTATGCCACATCTTGCACCATTCCTGAAGCAGTGAAAAATCACAACTGTTTCAGAAACTAAAGTCCAAGGTCCCATTTAGACATAGAAATCTACTAATGTGTAAAAAGCATTGTCCATAAAATATCTAGAAAGAAATCAGAAATATTTTAAGAAAGGGACTAAAGTATCAGATCACTTTCATGACCGTACCACTGCAAGCTACAGTTGTGGCTTCCCATGTGTATGAATGTTCTTCCATAAAAAATTGAGAAAATTTATATAGTAATTAAAAAAAGGAATCAAGGAAAATCATAACTTAAACCATTTTCCTCTGTCATCCAGATTGATTAATATTTCCCATTCTGTTATATGAATCTAGCTGCTCTGAATTATCAACTATATGTACATTAGTACAGCCAATTCAACAAATTCAATAAACCATAGTTAAGCAACCCATTATTCAGTGCAACACATAGACTGGGTTTTTTCCTTTTCTGTTATATAAAAGACCATTCAGTACTCTATGAATCCTTGTATGATGTACCTCAGACAGCAAACCCACATTTATTACAACAATAACAACCAAACAGTTATTACAGATTGATTTTAGGATGATTTGATGTCACCATCAACAAAATAGATTGTAAAGGAATATGATAAAATCAAAAGGGTGTACTTGCTTACTTGCTTTCTTGTGTAGCAATTTGTGAGTAGCCCAGCTTCCTTTAAAACATTCCTAAAAAGGCAAATTATATAAATTTAGCAATACTTTGAAACAGATTAACTTTATATGGTTAAAACAGTTCCACAGATTATAAACCACACTCTAGAAAGATGAAGGAAAATAGGTTTTCCTTACAGTTCACTGCACTTCAGTTCAAACAGCAGACACTAATTGGATTTCTTTTTAATAGGGCTCAAAAGCCACTTGACATATAAGTATATATGTCTAATATTGCTTTTATATATTTGTAGTATATGTTTTAAAGCCTAATATATGTTTTTAAAGCATTTTAAAAACATATCTTAGTTTAGTCTTGGACTGGAAACATGGAGCCCTTTCGTATCTTTTTTATTAAACTTATTTGCCACCCATCTCTCGGTTCAAGGCAATTCTGAGTCTTTTATGGCAATATTTGTTGTGACTATATGAGCATTTATATCCAACATATGGAGATGGGACATAAATTTGTAAAAAGCACAACAAACAAATTTTGGCATTTCAAAACGGAAAATAGTTTCCTGGAGCCTAAATGATAACATTCACAGCACTGCTAAATAGTACAGAACTCACCATCACATCTACCCCAACCATTAAAAAATAAAAAGTTTTCATGCAGCTCAAAACAAAAATTTAGCAAAATCATGAAGAGGAGATCCAACCATTGCTAATCCTACATTCCCTAAGGCCATGATGGTGTATCTATGGCACGCATGCCAGAGGTGGCACACAGAGCCCTCTCTGTGGGCACATGCACCATCGCCAGCTGCCCTTCTGGTTTCCGGCTGGTCTTCCCAGGTGCTGGAGCGCCAGAAAATGGCCTGAAAATGGCATGTTTGGGGCCATTTTCAGGCTGTTTTGGGGCCGTTTTTCAGGCCAAAACCAACCTGAAAATGGTCTGAAAAATGGCCTGAAAATGGCCCAAAAAACACCCAAAAAACAGGCATGCGTGTGCCGGCCAGCTGGTCTTCAGGTTTCTGGCGTGTGGACATGCATGTACGTTCCGGTTTGGGCACTCAGTGCCAAAAAGGTTCGCCATCACTGCCCTAAGGCAACATGTAGATGGTTTCTTCTTACAATCCTGTTTTTCAGGAGCCTACTTTAGCCTGGAGTAGTCACTGCAAAAGGCAGCTCCACAGCACCAGTAAAAAAAGGTGGGCAGCTGAATTTCTCATATGTGCAACATTTCCACATCTATCTTTTTTTTTAATCCTTCAAAAATACATTCTGAATGCTTGATTCAACCTCGTTTCCTATGCAAATATTTCCCTCGACCCAGTTCTATTAAAAGCAAGCCTGACTTTCTTCATAATTTGTAAAACTATTGCTCTTTGCAACAAGAGCAAAAATACAACACAAAGATGTTCCCATTTCCATTTCCTCCCAACTCTCATCACCTTCAAACATTAATTTGTTAATGACACAGAGGTGGTTGCTGCCTTTTCAATTTTTTTCCATCTTGCTTTCTTGCATTAATTTCTTAAGAAAAATAATCAAATAGATTTCACACATCATAAATCTTAAAAACCTGACAGAAGCAGAGTCTAATCTTATGGCCTTCCAGCACATTTAACTGGAAGCCAATTAACGTATTTATCATCAAAAAAGATTGCAAAAGGCTTCTTCCTTCAAAACCTAGCAAACATATATTTGTATGAATACCACAGAGACCATGTAAGGTTTAAAACAAGCATTTATTACATACGTACACAAATTTTCCTCAGTTTCCACACTCATGCCATTCATTATGGACATTGCATGTGTTTTACACTATGCACTATACACTATGGTTTATGCTTTTGCTAGTGTGTACTAATATGAATTCAGGTCCAACTGCAAGCAACATCAGGATCCTTAAATTAGATAAATAAATCAGACTTATATTTAAATATGATTTGAGTAGGAAAAAAAGGACACTTCCTTATAACTACTCCCCAAATTTCTGTAGCCAGCTCAGGTAGCTCAACTAGATGACTTTGGCTAATTTCAAATGAGCATGGTACCTGGGTGGTGTACCAATAAGACACCCAAGAACTCTTAGCAAGGCTGAAATATTGAAAAACCATTTTGGAAGAAAATCATGGCAAATTATTTCTCTATTAGTTTCAGTAAAACTACATGGATATGCCCATGTAGTCACCAAAAGCTGAGGCTGATTCAGAGGAATACTCCACATGGAGGACAGAAATGTCAGAAATTTGGAAAAGGGAAAAAGATTTTCCTTCTAAAAAAGAAGGCTCACCTGATTTTAAAAGCTGAACTATGGCAACAAAGCCACGATATTAAATGAAGACAAGGCAGGCCGCCCATGTTCAGAATCACTCCTAATTATGATTGCATTTCAGGATCCCCTAAGACATTGGAAAATTTAGAATAGTTCTGGTGCCAAGGCCTGATTTTCTTCAAATCTGACACAGAAACTTGTTACAGTTAATATCAAAACCTTAGCCTGTGGGCTGCTTTTAGAGGAAAAGTTTTGGCCAAAATTCCCTCGGCAATAAACTAAAATATCCAAAGTGCAACAACAATCACTTGTTGACAGACTGGAAAAACACAGCCCTTGTTTTTTTCTTCTCCAAAATCTGTCTTGTGAATCTTGATGACAGAACGGATTTTTTTTTTTAAATAAAAAAGGGGGGGAGGGAGATATCAGCCTTTGAGTGCTTTGTCCTTCAGCATGTATGGGGCCTATCCCTAATATTAATGAATAAGAAAACGAATCTCGCCTCCCTTGCTTTAGATTCTGACATGTGAACCCCAGGGTAGAAAAAAAACCCTATAAAATGGGGGTTGGGGGTGGAGGTAGAAAGAGGGACTGTAAGAAAGATTTAGGGCTCTTCCTGTACCCAGAGTTGGGTGTGTGGGACTACAAGTGACATCACTGGGAAGAATGGACATTGTAGTCCTTTGCTCTACTGAATCCCAGGTTGAATGATAGTGCCTCAGTTTTGCTTTTTCTCCCTTAGCAACAACCATAGGAAAAAGGCAAACTTGAAAGAGAGAGAGAGACACACACACACATACACACACACACACAGAGAGAGAGAGACCCTACTAGCATAAATGCAGAAATCTGGGCAAAACCATGCAGCCCTTCTGAATTCAGTCCCTCACTTCCCAGCAAAACGTGCTCGGGCGGCCAGAGAACAGGCCCGGGCCCAGCCAGCCTGAGTCACACCTGCCTTGGCAGAGCAGCAACCACCCCACATGTCCCCCAGGCGCAGGAAAGCCCCGCGTCCCGAAGCCCCCAAGTGTCGAAACCGAAAGGAAGGGGGCCGACGCAACCGGGGCCCCGCTCGAACCGACCTCCCGTCGGGGGAATCTCTGCGGCCGAAGCTTTCCGCCGACCCGCCCTTCGGCGGGCAAAGGGCGCCATGAGCAGCGGCGGCTTTACCTGCGAGCAGAAGTAGGATCCCTGGATGCCCAGCTTGATGCAGGTGGGGCACTGCAGCTTGGCCTCGCTGCTGCAGCCCGCCGTCTCGCACACCCGGGCTTCCACCGTCGCCATGCTGCCTGCTGCGACCGCCGCCACAGGAGCGGACGCAGGCGGACGGCGGGAGCAGCGGCAGCAGCCACCGGGAAAGGGCGGAGGGAAAGGCGGAACTCTCGGCCTGGAGGTTTCCCGACTGAAAACAGGGAGGGGCTCCAGGCCCCGCTTGCCCGCCCCCGCCGGCTCTCTCCGCCCTCTTGAGGAGAGGCTGGGCGGAAACGGAGCGAGGTTACGGCGCCGCTTCGGGCAGGCCGCACCGCCTCCCTGGGATATCAATCTCCGACACGTTTCTCTAGTCGCCGGGAGTGTTTTCCTCACCGCTGTGTAAGGCCGCGGTTGTTCCGCGAGTTTGCGCTGGAGCCACGCGCGAAGTGCCCTCCTCATCCGGACTTGTTGCGCACGTCAGGCTTCGCACGACCAACTTACCTAACTCAGATAACGGATCCTTGGGTTCTTTCGATCGTCCAGGCTTGGAGATCAAATTCACTGCCCGGATTAGCTTGGCGAGATCCGCTGGATCCCTGGAATGGGGTTCTTCTGGCTCTCCGGTTTTCTTGGATTTGCTCGGACTTGAGAGGACAGTATATGTTTTTTTCCTACTTGGTGGAGGATGTTAAGGGTGAAAGGGGAGGATAAAAAAAAAAGCCTTCTAATATAAAACGGGCTGATTTAGATGGTCATTCCAATCCTTCTCATCCAAATTCTTTAATGAGAGGTAAAAATGCTCCATTAGCATGGAAAAGATCAAAGGAAAAAATCAGTGCTTAACATCAGAAAAAAAATCCCGAAATAAAAAATACCACATTTGCACATAGTCCTTCTGAATCTGTTACGTACAGGTTTTTTTTAATGCCAACTAATTCACTGGTAGGCCATGGGCTGTCCTGGGGCACCAGTGTGCTTGTATACACTTCAAGCAGAGCCTAGGGGGCCTCTTTTTTCCAATTGACTTTTTACTTTTTAAGATATTGTAATTATAAATAAACAAGTTAAAAGATGACATGCCTGCCACGCACTATGTGGCATACCTTTTATTGCCCGCAGCGTTTCTCAGCCCCATAGTTATGATTTGAAAATAAAAATGATAAATTTCCGTAAGTTCTTGTTTCGTTTGAAAGTACCTCCAGTCCAAATTCATCCACAAAAATACAAAAAAAAAAGAGGTAATGAGGTAAGGTGCATACTTGGGTGTTGCAGAGGATGGCAAGAAATTTTTTTACAAATTTGGCTTCTGGTGGTTGTTCATGACTGGTCACTAACTTTATTTGAAAGTTTATTTTGGCGTCTTTTGTTTTTTTCAATTAGTAGCCTTGAGTGCGTTTTAAAGTATAAAATGCTTTAAATGACCATATATACTACATTAACAAAATTACATGATTCAGCATGAACAATTTTTAAATTGTTGTTAGGTTTCAGAACTGTGAATTCTGTCATTGTGAGTAATTATGTCATTATGGTGAGTATTTGAATCCAATCAATCCTCTTGCATTCTCAGTTAAATGCAATTTCCCAAAATATGGATCTAACTGAATTGAAATCATTGGAAGAGGACAATACATGTATACTTTTTTGATAAAACAAAAAGATTTGGCTACTGCTTCTGAGTATATAAGTTTGCAATATAAAAGTACTTTTGATTAAATTATGTGTTTACAGTGTATACTATCTGGAAATAAGGGCAGAGTTAAGGAACGATATATTACAAATGGTTGTCTTTTAAAAAGACGAAGTGTAATGCTGTTGTTAGATGATTATTGTTAGGCCTTTATCATTAGTGTCATTTTGATTTTTCATTAACATCCTAACAAACTAATTAACAATAGTAAAATTCTTTTACTTAAATATTATAAACTCAAGGAATCCAAACTCCATGACAAGGATAGGTTTGATGGTCCATTTTCTTCCGTGATAGGCTTTTTGGGGGATGGATTATAATAAGTGGTGGGTTGTCCCAGGTTTGGACTGCTTTGCAAGAACTGGTAGTAAAACCAGAGGGAGGCTTCGCCCACTGACCTGGACGTCATCATACATGATCTGCGCATGTGCAGAAGCTTCTGTGTATGCTCAGAAGAGCACGAGAAAAGCAAGAGCACATGCGGGCGCGATGCGAACCTGAAATCAGAAGAGAAAATCTAAGCGGAAAATTGTCAGAAGAGGATCAGAGCAACAGCACATCAATTAAATATTAAGAATAAAATAAAGGATATATTTTGAAGTCATATTAAAATATGTAAGTGTGTGTAATAAAATATTCAATTCAACATTCCTTTCTGATCAGTAACAATAAAATAAGACATTGAAAGATGTTTTATACTGTACATTGAAGATATGTTAATCCAACATTTCCTATTCCTTCACACACACATTCATAAATAATGAATATACTGGTATATACATTGATTCAATAGTGTTTCACAGACTCACTCATTTGATTCTCAAGAATTTTCCTTTTCTCTTTACCCTACATGTTCATAAAGAGAATCGGTAATGACCACATATTTTATCCAATCTTTATTTGATAGGAATTTTGAGTAAACAGCCAGATTTCATTGTCAAGGTTTATCGTCACTGCTTGGTATTTCCAATATGAAGACATTCTGCTAACTGTTTTTAGGAGACTTGCCCTCTTGCTGTAGCAGGAATTTACATAATCTTCAGCTGTTTCTGTTTTAAAGTTATATTTGTCTGACACAAGTCTTACTACAGGAATAGTCTACGATACCTCATTGACTGTTAATAATATCAGGCACAGGGATCTGGCCATCTCTCACTGACTACTTTCTGCTTGTGGATATGCTTTCAACTAAATTTAATACCTTAGGGAATTTCAGTTCGCCTATCTCAGTATTATTTTGCATTCCTAATTGGATATTTCTTGGTGCTACCTACTGAGACACATCTTTGCCATCTGCCTTTCCTTTACAGTATTTAGTGACTAGATACCTACGTAGTGGGGTTAAATGGATGAAGAGTTATGTTGGTTTTGGTTTCTAATGCGACATGCTTCATTATACTAAACTGGCTCTCTTTTTACAGTGTTAAAATTTATCAGTCAAAATGAAATTTAAAGAAATTCAAGGCAGTAAACAAAAATGCTTATTACTCAAAAACATTGAACTAGAATGCAGTCATTATGTAATCTGTGGGGAAATGGTATAATTTGCTGCAGAAATTAACACCAGATTTTGCAATGGAATTCCTTGAAATAGGAATATAGCTGATATAATCTCAGTGTGTAACACACTATATGGGACTGAATAAACTCTATTATAGTACACACAGAATCAAAGTTGGGACAGGTCTTTGGACCATTTAAGTACTATAAGATAACATTACAGAATATACATTCTTCCTTTTCTATATAGACTTCCTTTTCATAATACTTGTTTCCTGGATAGATACTTTATTAAACTTTATGCCACTCAACTCTCAATGATTCTGAGCACCTCACAACCTTAAAACAAAGAAATTACACTACAACAAAAAATGAAAGATGCCAAGTGGGATGAAGATACGTTGCTGATATTTTTGAAGCTGTGACTTTGTTTATTGTACAAGTGTTTAGACGCATTCAGATTGTTTTTCCTTTTTGACAAGAATAACTAAATTTTGCAACAAATTGTCTTCAGTTGTGAATGAAAGCAAATATACCTGTCCCAGGATAATGTTGGGAGGATCCAATCTGGGTTGGTCACCGGGACCAGACGTTTTGTCTACTGAGCTTTCGGACTTCTGCTGGAGTCCATCTTCAGCGAACTTCTCTCTAGCCAGCCTGGCTACAGTCCAAAAGTCCAAAAGTTTGGAAGACAAAACCTCTGGTACCGGTGACCAACCCAGATTGGATCCTGTCTTCAGTTGTGTACAGAATGCCTTGTCTGAATGATATACTCTTTTCTTCAAAATGTTTATTATAGAAGTCTTCCTTTGAGCTTCTGTTTTCTGGATGTATTGTTTCAGCTTCCATCATCCCCTAACCAGCATGGTAAAAAAATCAGGAGTTTGCTACCACTTTTTTCATTAACAACGTAGTTGGAAAAGGGGCTGCTCTCCTCCAGATTTTGTGCCCCCTCCCAAAGACTAATAGGGCTGCCCTCCTACAATGTGACAGTTGCTCACCACAGGCTTTCAGAGGGATGGAGATCCATCACATCTCAAGATCACAAAGACAGCACTGTTAATGAAAATACAGAGTAAGCCAAAAATTGGGCAGCTGCACTGGAATCTGTGTTCCTATACCGAAAGTGGGAATTTCAAGAAAAACACCATGGATAGACTGGCGGGCTAATGTATGTCCCTCCTCGTCAAATTATCTCTAGGATTTCAGGATATATCCTCTGCTTCGGGTACGATTAAAACCCGCAAGTGAACGAAAAAGCAACTGTGATCGCTCCCTCGCCTTCCCGGCTCGCTTTCAGATTTTGGATAGGGAGCTGAATGGTGGCGACCAGAGAGACGAGGGGCGGCTTGCATCACACATGCTGACACCCTGTGACAGAAAAGGACCAGCTGCGCCGTCAGGCCGGGCATCGGCGGGGGGATGCGGAGGTCACACCCGCAGGCTGCTCCTGCAATTGCCAATTTCGGACTCGAGGAGTCACTTTTCCCCACTCTGAGGAACCTCGCCTCAGCCTGACATGCCCCTGTCTGCCTTTCCCACGTGATTTCTCTCCTGGAAAGGGAAGGTGGGGGAGAGGGGAGAAAAAAAAATAAACCGAGACTACAATTCCCAGAAGACGCTGCTGCTGCTGCTCCCTCTGGCAGCGGGCACCAACCCCTCCCCGCACCGGGCTTGCGCACGCGCCGAGCCGCCAAAACGGCCGCCGCCTCCACGTGACTCTCCGCCGACCAATCGTTTTCGAACCTGATTTGTTATCCGCCTTCCCCTTTTACCTCTCTCCTCCCCTCAGCGCTTGTGCGATCAGAGCGATCTAAGATGGCGACGGTGGAACCGGTGAGTGTCCTTATTCCCGTTTCCTCCCTTTGGTTTACACCCCCCCCCTTCTCCCCCCTCCGCCTTCCTCTTTTTTCTCCGCCCTCGCTCTGTCACGTAGGCTTCCGTGAAGATTGTGAAAAGACCGCTCGGCCCTGAAAGGAGGGGGGGGGGGACACAAAAACCCAGGCAGAAAGCCGAAGGGGGGGGGGGGGGGGGGGGGGGGGGGGTAGAGATGGTTGGAGAAGAGGGAGGGCGGCAGACAGCGGCCTGGGAAGTGGTGTGTGGCGCGCGCGTGCGTACGGCGAGCGAAAGGCGCCGGCGTGTGCGATGGAGCGCCTTTGGCGGGAGGAGGATGGGAAGACGACTCCGAGCGTGTGAGGCGAGCGGCCAGGATTGTGCCGTCACAGTTTGGGCGGGGGCGTTGAGGGGGCGACGGGGAGGAGGGGTCGTGTGACGGGTGAGGTGGAAAGAGGAAGGCCGAAGACGGCCGGCGGGTGCAGGGCGAGGAGAATTCACCACGAGAGAGGAGGGCGGAGCTCGGTCGGACTCTGGGCCCCCATCCTGGACATAACTTCTCTGTAATTCGCCGTGCCAGCTAGCGGAGACCGGCCGCTTATTCCGGCCTGTGTCTCCTTGTCTCCCCACGCCTGCCAGACTCAAAAGTGCCCAAACCACCGACGGAGAATACCTTCCTCCACAGCTCCCATCCCTGATCTTCGGGGCTGCTCCCAATGCTGTCACAACGCCCGCTTGTTTCCACTCGAACCGTACCGTCCTGCGGTCTCCGAACCAGGCGACAAAAATTGCTTTTTTTTTTTTTTTATCCTTGGCTTAACTTGTTTCCTTTTTCTGCTCCTCGGCATTTCCCAAGAAAACTATAGTTATAATTGAACCCCATAGAACCGGCTAGGGGGGAAAAAAACTAAAAACATTCTTTCACAGGAGCAAAATTTGGGGCGGATCCGTACAGGCCTCATCATTTCGCTGTACTTCAGTTTTCAACTTTTCCATAAAGAAGGTTGTCTCTGATTTAGGCCTCCTTCGTACACTTCTCCTATACTTAAATAGACGTTTGCTCCTCTTTCTCCCCTAGCTGTGCAGAATTTTTAAGGCCAAACATTTTCAAATACTAATTTGTTGAAGGAAAAGTTGCCCATCATAGGTGTGTTCCCCCTCCGTTGCAACCTACTGTATTATAAGTTGAGTGCTGAACCACAAAAGTAGGGTTGACATGCAATGGAAGATGACAGTAGTAATACTGAGCAGGAGGAAATACTAGCATTGAACCAAGAGAACTGCAGTTGGCAATGACACTGTAGGTAGTGGCAAATTAAACACAAGTAGTATTTCACTACATACAAAAGGAATGAGATTTGCCAGGGCACAGCATGCATGTACTATGTGCCTCTGTATCTAGTTATAAAAAATGTCATCCATCATGTTCCAGAGTAGGCATAATTTACAAGTGTATTATTTTTCTACTCCATAAATGTTGCCAGGATAATACAAGGTTTTTAAACTCAGAAGAAAAAAACTATGGAATGATCCATAATTACTACTAAATTACAGCTTCAAGAGCGTTTGCCTTTTTGGAAACTCCTTTTCTGATAGACTTCGCACATTCCTAATTTTTAAACGTTTATAAGCGTTATCAGTTTCCAAAGCAAGTAGAGAAAAAAGTGCATGTATACAGAAGAGTTATATGAATGACAGTTAAAAGTTTTTGAATCGTCATGATTGAAAGCCATTCTGGGTTATGTAGTTCAGTAAAGGTAAGCTGAAATTTTGAATGTGCATGTCTGTTACTTTAATTTTACTTACTTGAAAGACAAGCTTATTAAATCTATAACATGAAGGAAAGACAGTGAACATTCATATAGTTTTGTTATATGATGGGAATAAACTTCAAAAACATTCAACTACCAGCAAAATCAATAAGCCAAAGCAGATATATTTAGTTCAGGAGTTTTTTTGTGTGCAGAAATTTTACATGATGCTTCTTTTTTAAGAAAAGTGTTTATTAAAAAAGTAGTTTTCACAAGCTAATTTACAATTTAACACGATTAAGTATAAAATGATGGGTTCAGTTTTCAGATGATCCACAAGTATGCATAAGGATTAATTTCATTCCTGTTTAGATTGGAAGTTAAAGGGACGACAAGTCTGTGTTGTTGGTTATTGAAAGATTTTCTTCACCTAAGGTATAATATATCTTATAACTGCAGCTAAGAGAACAGGTAATAAAATTGAAAGTTACATATTTAATCAGTCTGTAGACTGCTAATATCAAATGGTTCTTTTTATATGTTAGTTTTAGCTATTATAGTTTTTGTGTACCATCTGTTAGATGGTAATATCACTATATCTCCAGATACTCTAATACAGTATCAAACTTGCTTCATCACAGCGTCGTCACCTGATGTATTGGGACTTTTTCCCCCTTCGCTAAACTGGGCGGGGGCGGAGCCAGCATGTGACATATCCGGCTCGTGGGCCACGAGTTTGACACTCCTATTATAGCATATAGAATGTACAAAATAAATCCTCATAGTTATCTTCATTTGTCATAGTAGTTTTCATTTAGAAATAATGCTTTTGTAGCTGGATTATTATTTTTAGCCTTTGTTAAGGGGCAGAAAAATTCCTCCTCAGATTTTATAGATGTAAATCTAAAAAGTGGCAGGAGTATATCATTTACATGACAGTAAGGTGTCTTCTTTACAGGTAGTCCATGGTTAATGACCACTTGTTCAGCAAGTTACAATGTGAGCGAGTGGCACTAAGATCAGTCCTCAAAAGTTCTGGCCACTGCATCACCCTATCATTGCAATCTGGATGCTTGGCAACCAGCTCAAACAACAGTTGCAGTGTGCCATGGTGATGTGATTGCCATTTGCAACCATTTCTGCTAGCTTTCTTCAAGCAAAGTTAATGGGGGAGCTGGCAGAAAAGGTTGCAAGTCACTCAGGTAAGTCTCCTGTGCCCAGCAACTGCAGCCAAATCTTGTGCGCCATCTCTCTCCCACTTGGCAGCAGGCACCCAAGCTTTGCTGTGCTTGCACCACACTCACATTATGCGTTTACCCCTCCCCTACAGCATTCATTTACAGCCTACTGGGACTTTCAACTTCCTGCTACTTTCCCACTGTCTTTGGTTGTTGGAAGCCAGCAGGAAGTTGTGAGAAGATCCTCACTTATCAACCACAAATCTGATTTAATGGGGACTGCTGGGATTGCTATGTCACTAAGTGTTTAACCATAAACCCTAATCCTAAAATGTAATTATGTCATTAAATGATGGAACATTGTCAGTAAATGATGGGCTGGAATTAGGAAATAACATCCCAATTACCCAGTTAAGCATCCAGAAAAAATACTATATATCTAACCCCACTGAAATCAATACTTTCTAAGTTAGTTATAACAAATGTTTCACACTAATTTTTGAGACCTTAATGTAACTAGTTTTATCAGCAACTGTCCTATTACAGTATTTTTTATACATTGGGTGTCCATAAAAGAATTTTGCAATAAATAACATTTGTATGTGATTCCTAATCAAATATATTACAGTATTACAATTGACAGTGATTTGTGCGTACCTTAAATTCTATCATATGTTTTAATATTTCAGACCTTAATGAAATATAGAGAAAGGGCAAGAAATCCCTATGAAAACGTAGCTGTTTACAATGTAGTAAAGTTAACAATAATTCAAAACATGTTGATTGGTACCATTGTCTGCTCTATTTTACCTAAATTATACATTTGGAGTATGTATGGGGCCTATGGTATTGAATCACTTAATAGTATGTGCTATGAGAATTACTGCATTAAGAAAAGTAAAAGTTTGATATTTTTGCACACATTTGATAATATAATCCTCCGTGGAGAAATAGATTCCATCTTACTGTTTCAGTTGCAGTTGACTAAGGTGACTGGTGAACTTTACATTCATTCTAATTGTTCTAGAATGCCTATATTTGGAAAATATATACATATCCATACTAAAAAGATTTGTAAATGTTAATGGCAGAACATTTGAACATGGTAGTTATCTTTTAAATAAACTTTTATGCATAATATATTATTCTTTATAAAGAAGCAAGTTAATTGTTTATTTTGTTTGTCTAGGAAACCATTTCTAACCCTCAGACTTCAGAAGAAGAGAAAACTGAGAAAACTGAGACGCCAGCAAGTCAGGAGATTGTGAGTCCTGAAACATACGTTAAGCATCCATTACAAAACAGGTGGGGCATGTTTCCTTTAAATTTTGTAATAGCATGTTCTAAAACAGAATTAATTAGATATTTTGGAATACATTTTTTAAAATGAAGAATACATATCCACAAGTATCTTCCTTTTGAAAAGTTGGGGAACACTTTTATGTTAAATTACAGATCCTTTATGAAAACCTCTGAAATGTTGTATGTTCTCTTTATGTTTCAAGAAATTTCAGATGAAAAACACTACATAACAAGGTTCCAAATCACTGTCTGCGTTGCAATTTTAAACTGGAAAGTATAACATACTAACTTACCTTATGTTTCATATTATGATTTGTATAACATACAGTAACAATTTGAAGCACAGTGTTGACAGGTAAATAAGTTCTTGGTTTAAAAGTCAGCTAATTGTCCTATCTACAGTAGTTTGAGCCAAATTGTACTTTGGACTATAAATAGTATTTGACATACTTTCCCTATTCAGAATCTTAAAAGAATTTCAGTTTCTTCCCAAAATATTACTTTTGAATGCAATTAAAATCTTTGCCCCAACTTTCCTTGGTCATCTTAATAAAGGTAGAATGTGGGTTATGACTGGGTCAGTACTTTTAGGTTTTAATTGACAGAATAGAGCCTGCTAGTCTCAGAATTCTTCCAAAAAAATTTCAGTTGATGCAAAACTGCTAAGCTCTGGGAAATAATTGATTTTATCTAATTTTAATAAAAATTAAGACACATTTTTGTTTTTCCTTTCTCTGTTCAGTTTTTGGAGCACAACTTTCCACATATAACTCAAGGCCTTAAAACAGCTCTTGTTATGAAAAAAAGATGCACATGCCTGATTTGGTTAATATGTCTACCTCCTGTTTTTGGTCTGTTTAAAAATGTAAAGACAATCTTGAGCTACTATGCAAGGCACTAAATAAATTCAGAATTTCAGAAATGATATATAGCATCAAGTGATATAAAACTACAAAGGCGATTCAAGGAAATAATCTTAAAAATCTTATAAACCATGACTACAATAAACACTACTACTAATTAAATGTGCATATGAAATTATGTATGATAGCTTTTAATTCTTAGGAGGATTTCTTTTTCAGTTTCCAACTAGAATGATTTGTCAACAGTAATCCTTCCAAAATTGTATGACATCCTTCAACCTGAAGTGTTCTAATTTGAAAACCAATTTCTAAAAATAAGAATTTTGTGTCTCTGTGTATTACTTGCTTTATATACTGCATTTATTTATTCGATTTATGACTTCTGCATGACAACTTCAGTAGCATTTACAGATATAATGTCTATACGAAATATATCTATAAAGATACACTTTCACTTTTTCAAATGGGAAGGAATATTTCATCTGATTCAATGTAATCAGGCATGTTCAACCCATGCCACTAGTAATTTAAGACAGGGATTTTCAACCTCCAGTCTGTGGACCGGCACCAGGCTGCACAAACAAGCAAAGCCCCATCTGCAGGATGCAGGCAGCATCGAAACCAAGCCCCCTACAGTCCATGGAAAAACCTCTTTCTGCGGTACCGGTCCCTGGTGCGCAAAAGGTTGGCGGCCGCTGATTTAAGAGACAATAGTGTAGGATATGCGAAACAAAACACTTCATCTCTAGAATATATTGCTTTTGTCCGCATATTTTTTTCTTTGAAATTGAAATTACTTTCTTGTCAGAAAGACACATTTTCAAGAATACATGAAATTCAAAGTGACCTGTTCAGGGAAACCTTTTCAGAAACAAATGTCTTCAATCTATATGTAATTGCAGCACTGTACCTTAGATATTATGCATAGCATATATGTTTATAATTCCCATTTTATTTTCACATTTTGTTGATAGATTATGATACATTCATATTTGTGAATTGTCATTTTTAGTTACTGTTTTTCACTAGGTTTCCAGTATTTTGTGCAAGAAAATGCTTTAAAGCCTGAGTAGATCAATAGCTAGAATTGAAGTTTGTTCTCAATATTAGCTACTACATAAATGTTTCTGAGATGGTCAAAATTAGGAAATGAAAGCAATAATCCTTCCCATTGGCTGTTATTTCTCAAACATATATTAGATTGGCAGTCAGCAATATATGAATTTACAAATTGTCAATATTCTTGACAGAGTCAGTTGTATAGTAGTTTGTTTAAGGAAAATGGCAAGCTCTTAACTTAAAATTTGAATTACCTCAAATGCATTCTTTTGAATTACCTCAAAATGAGTGTTTTTGAATGTTAGCTTTGTTTAAGGTTTGTATTAATCCTTTGCAAAATAGAATTATTTTCCAGTAGGCTATTATTGCATTTTTAAAGGGATTATATAAAAAAGTAGCATTTTACCTGTTAATTGTCCAATTCTGTATTATAGCTTGTTTTTGCCATTTACTCTTTCTTTTTGCTGAATATATTCATGGTTACTATAGTTAGATCTATTGGTGATAGATGCTAGTTGATAGAATAAGTTGCAAAATCATGATTTTTAAATTTTTGAATAGGCCAATGAAACATGGCTACAAAATTTAAAATACAAATCCTTCCAAGCCTGAAACAATAATGAGAGTATCAACCACCTTCTGCAAGTCATACCTATTAGTAGAAACTTGACAACAATCAGTTTTATGATTATCAGACTTTAGGGTGGTACAATGGGTATGACATGTAATCTGATTCTTCCTCAGAACAATTGAATGCTATATTTTTCTTTTAGCAGGGGAGTTGGGAGTTGGTATAAGGAATTCTAATTTCTGAATCAGAAATTAATTGATTCACTTGTCAGCTCTAAGTGCCACCACAGGCTTATACGTTATTTAAAGTTATTTCCAATTATATAGTTCAAACTGATTCCTTTATGATCTGTTTCCAGAAAATGGAAATTTGGAAAAGGAGGGTAGTCACTATAGTCATTATATAAACATAGGTATGACTTCAGATTTATTCTATAGTACTGTTCACACTTAGAATCTCCCTTGTATGCTTAGGTGTTCATTGTTTAATAAAATAATGGAAATGAACATTAAATCTGTATATTTTTTTGTGTATTCTTGTTTTGTATTTTCCTTCCCAAATTTCCTTGTATACTATGATTTCAATCTCTACCTTTTAAAATAATTGTATGCCAATATAAAGTTATTTTTTTTTTCAGGTGGGCACTCTGGTTCTTTAAAAATGACAAAAGTAAAACTTGGCAAGCAAATCTTCGTCTGATCTCAAAGTTTGATACTGTTGAAGATTTTTGGGCGTAAGTAAAATTATAAATCAGACTTGAAACTTGAGTATCTTTTCATCTCATCTGTTTGTTATTGAGAATTATATATGAGAAAATATAGGGGAATAAGTTGAACGAGAGGGAATATTCAAAGACAAAAGTGAAGTGAATTTGTAAAGAACACCAATGTACAATTAAAACTTGCTCTGTAACTTTTAATTGGGTGAAACAGTGCATTATAGAGCAACAATTTTTGAACCAAAATATCAAATGGGCTAATTTACAGAATGCTTCAAAAATCTGGGACACATGACTCCCGTGGGATTGAAATTGGCAAATTTGTGTTTCTTCAATGCTTCTGGGCCACTGCCCAGGGGCGCAGTAAACTGGTCCAGCCCTAACCTTCCAAAGGCTGGCTAGATTGATCCCACCATTGGCTTCCAGAGGGCAGTCAGCCCTCCCTGGTCATGCTGGCAAAAAGTCAGAAGTTATTTCTTCTCCCACTGCTTTTTTGCCCAATCATCTGTTTCTCTGTTTAGGTAAGGAAATGTTTTTAAAATGATGACCCAGTGGATCATGGGTTATCTAATTTAGACTTAAGTTTGGGAAAGTTGAACGCATTATTAAATATTGTTACCTGCTACAATTATAAAAAGAGGGCACCTACGAAACTGCAAGCTATTGGCTCTGTGAAGTATTGGAAATCCTGTGAACTGCATTCTCAAGTATTGTGAAGAGTTTTTCTTTATTTTTTACACATACACACACAAAAACATACAGTGTATTTTTGCTGAACAGAGTATTTGGCCGGTTAACAAATTTAAACAGTTTTTGATCCTTACAACTAAAATTACAATTTCTATACCTCCTTTTTGCCATAGTAAAAGGAGCCTTGGTGGCGCAGCGGACTAAAGTGCTGTTAAAGTAGCACTTAGCTGCAAGCTGCCTGCAATTACTGCGAGTTCAAATCTCACCAGGCTCAAGGTTGACTCAGCCTTCCATCCTTCCGAGGTAGGTAAAATGAGGACCCGGATTGTGGGGGCAATAAGCTGACTTTGAATAAAAAAGAACACCGCTTAGGGAGGGCCAAAAGCTCTACTAAGCAGGTATCTACAAAAGTATGAAGGCTATTGCTTAACGCATTGTAAGCCGCCCTGAGTCTCCGGAGAAGGGCGGCATATAAATCGAACCAATAAATAAATAAATAAATAGTATTTATTTTTGTCTATTTTTTACCAATATTGCCCTTCATTTTCATCTCTAATTTTAACCAAATTCCAATTTTCCCTTCTATTCTATATTAAACCCCTTCTCATTGTCATCTGTTTTTATATCCACCATCATAATAATTAATTTTGTGATGTTACAATTGTTCAATTCTTATAGGAATAGTGAACTCATTTGTTTTATCTTATATTTTCTTAATTGATACAGTCCAACATTTTAATATAATCAATTACTTATGTAAATATCTTTTCCATTTGTATATTCAAACAAGAAGAAAAAAAAGAAAAAAGAATATGAACGTGGCTATTCCAATTAGTTCCATTTTCATATATCAAATAATTTTCCCCCTATGTTGCTCCGAACCACATCTTAATCATTTCTACTTTTACACGATATACAATTTAAAATATTTCATCTATTACAATTTCCTTAATTAAATTTAAAAATATTCTCACTGTTATCCTCTACCCATATTGCTTCCCCTATGTATTGTTTCAAGTCCTCATTTAATCATTTCTATACACACCACTATAAACCATTAAAAGTATTTCAATTATTACAATTTAAACTTATTCATATTTCTAAAAAAGTAAAGAAGAAGAAAAAACCTCATTATCTAGATTTCAAAAATACAAATGATAATATTCCAATTATTGTTCAATTCATTTTCACCATCATATGATTTACCATTATTTCTTACTACAATTCATATTTCAGTTCTATATACCTCAAATTCCTCTTTCATTTCTTTCTCCTTTTCTCCCTTTTCATTTTTATTTTTACCTTTTTCTTTCCCCTTCTTTCCTGTACTTTAAAATCCTGATCTCTCCTGTTTTGCCCTATATTTCCCATTATTCCCTCTCTCTTTTCTCTTTTTTTTATTTTCCCACTGTTTAGCCCGCTGTTTAGCCCAATATTGTCATTCTGTATATCAAAGTTCTGGATTCTTCTCTTCTGCCCTATATTTCCTGTTGTTTTCCACCCTCTTTCTCTTTTTTATCCTTTCACTATAAATCCCAGTGTAATCATTTAAGTTCTTTATATCCTTTCTGTTCCACTCTTCTTTCCATATTTGTCTCTTTCTATCCTCCCTATTTCTTTCATTGTTAATCCCAATGTAATCTCTAAAAACCTCTTTTTTATTATTACTATCCTCATATTCAAATACATTTTCATATTTAATCATATATTCTTTATCTTCTTTATTTTCAGCCTCTGTGTCTTGCTTTTCCGTCTGTTTCGTTGTCAGCTTGCGTATGCTCTATCTCGTTTTTTATGTCCTCAGATTTTAATTCCCCGTGGATCGGTGTAGTTATTTCTCTTCCATTTTCCATGACATCGCTTTAATCATTTCTCTATTTTCCTGTGCCATTTATTCTTTTTGAGTTAGTATTGTTCCAATTTTAAAAGTTCAATAGTATTCCTCCCCCCCCCCCCGCAAAGTCAAGCCGCTTGCAAACAAAAGAATCCTCCCCAAAAGTTCTCACGGCTGTTATCTGTGCTCCTGAAGGTGTCTCTCTGCAATCCACAATTTCCAGTTATCTAACAAGTATCCATTTGTTTCAATATATATTAACAATCTTAACCAGTTTCTCTTTTTCTTTTTAGCTTTAAAAATACCAAATCAGTTTTATAGCCCAGTCTAGATTTAAACAGCTCTTTTTCGTTTCTTTTTTCCTTTTTCCTTTTGTTCATACAGCACTTCTATTACAGGGCTTATTATCCATTCTCTTTTGTTTTTTTTTTTAAAGTTCACAAGAAAGAGGAGAGAAAAAGGATCTATTTCTTTCTTTCTAATCTTTTAATCAATCTTGGGGTAATTTCTTTCATTTTTAAAATTTTCCAAATTATTTTCTAGGTCGTTTTGTTCAAAGATCAATTTTCTGTTCGGGTTTTTGTCTCTTTAAAGATACGCTTCAATATCCTCTTTTCTTTCCCCCATGCTTATTAGTTGCCGTTTTTTCGCTAGGGGTCTTCAGGTTTAAAATTTTTTTTTTCCTTATTGTGAGTTGGTTGACACTCACCTGGCTTCAAAAACTCAGTTCGATTCACCGCTCCTGCTCAATGCTTAGTCCGGTTGCCCTAGCTTCGTGACAGCTGCCGCCCCCCGCCGCCAAGTTGTAGAGAGCTACCTCTGACCTTCGAGGAACTTGCCTGTTCCTCTTCATCTTCCGAGGTGCCTCTCCTTCATCCCTGTCCCTACAGGACGGTTCTAGTCCGAAGACCCCTTGGCGATGGTTCATCAGACCGGGTTTTTGCGGAGCTCATTGGAGCCCGCAAATTCCCCGACTGTCTCGCCGCGACGCTTCCGGTCGAATTCGCATTCTCAAGTATTGTGATGATGACAGTATGAATTAGTTTTTAAAGTAATGATTATATGACTTTAATTACTGTTTTTCTTTTAATAACATTTGCTATTAAGAATTATTCAAATTTAACCTCAAAATTTAAGATAATATATGTGTTTTTTGACATTTGCACATCTATAATCTTTAATATTTGTGGTAGTTCATTTCATTGATTGTACTTATGTTTTTTCCCAAAATAGGTTATATAACCATATTCAGCTCTCTAGTAATTTAATGCCTGGTTGTGATTACTCACTTTTTAAGGTACGTGGAATAAACCTTTGAGTCTATTTCATCTTGTTAGGTTATTTTGGGTATAATCTGCTAAGTAAAAGACTTTAAAGGATATATAATTTAATAAAATATTGTAAAAGTGTATTAATAAAACTTACTACAGCGTAACTTATTGACTAGTTTGTATGTTTATAATGTGGGATTTCTGTGTTAGGGTATATCTTAATATTATTTTGATATTTTCAAAAGCTGAGGGTAAAATACATAACCAAAATTTGTTTAAATGTTGCTGATCTTGTCTTTCCTATTTTACCAGTCACTGTCTCTATTTTCATAGTGTTGCAAATTAAAATATTTAATGTAGTTAGTATTTGATTTCCATTTCTCTGTCAGAAGAGTAACATTAATTTTTTTTAAACTGATATTTTTTCATGCATGACTTAAAATCTTAGTAATATAAAGATAAATAAATTTCAAATATTTAAAAATGAATTGTGTGAATTACACATGTGGATATTGTGTTTTATATTAAACTACACTTTTTAGGATGGTATTGAACCCATGTGGGAAGATGAGAAGAATAAACGGGGAGGGAGATGGCTAATTACACTAAACAAGCAGCAGAGACGAAGTGATCTTGATCGCTTCTGGCTAGAGACAGTAAGTGATTTTTATATTGTTTGCTCATTTTGGCCACATTCTAAATGGAAAGTCAGGGTGTACCAAATCTATTCAGATAATTAATTGACCATGGTTAGACCATTGCTACATCAGAGAGAATACAGAATAACAGAGTTGGAAGGGACCTTGGAGGTCTTCTAGTCCAATCCCCAGCTCAGGCAGGAAACCTTATACCATTTCTTCTTGGCATTACATTTTCTTCTTGGGTGGAGGCCTATGAAAACCATTGGTCTGGAGCTTTGTGAATCCTTCTAAATTCTGGAATTTGATTCAGGAGATGTATTACAAAACTTTTTTCATGTTGTCTTGGATTAACACATCATTGTCATCCTAAATTTATAGCAACGCTGGCAATCACAAAACTAATGGCATTGCAGTTATATTGATTCTAAGGAGAATGCTAGAGTCAATTTTAGAGACTTGGTAGCTGAAAATTTCATATCTCTGGTATGCAATGTATTTGGAAGCCTATAAAATGTATTTGGAAGCCTATAAAATATATTACAGACCTGTCAGTTGTCAGTGACCACTAGGGAAAGTGTGGAGAGCATGAGTTCTTGAATCCTTTGTCATTGCTTAATATTAGTGCTGCTTGGATCACTTCTCAAGAAATGAAATTTAGAGTCGAGGAATTGGCAACATCCTGAGTCACTGACCCATCTACTTCTCTCTTGTAGGAATGCATTGGAGAAACTTTTCCCAATGCTTTGATTTATTGATTCTTTTAAACTCATATTTCTTGTGTTTGCTTTTCTTTCGTATCAAGTATGCAGAGCATAGTGTTGAAATTCTTTTCAATATCTTCACTCATCATAGCCATAGCAGGTGCCTGCTTTATATATACTAATATAGTCTGTTTCTACTCTGTGTGTTTTGGGAAACACAAAGTAACTCTGCTCTGAGTCATATGACGAGGAAGGTGGAAACTTGAGTATGAATCATCAAGAAACATTCTAACAGTCCCATAGGACAGTGCTCCCCAAATTTTCTGGCTTGGCGAACAGGCAGAGGAGGAGATGGTTCTGTGTTAGTGGCAGGCACCGGTGTGAACACACATAACTCCCATTTGTACAAGTGACGGGCAGACACACCACTCATGCAAATGGAGCTGCAAGTTCAAGCACCTACAGGTCACACAAATGGAGCTGCACACGTGCATACTTGTTACTTGCACAGCCCAGTTCCGAATGAGCCACAGCCTAGTAGTGTGGGCCGCGGCTCAGGGACCCCTGCCATAGGATACATTTTTCTTGATTCATTTTTTTCCTCCACAACTCTCAGTCTGATCTTCAATTTTTGAATTTGATCTTTGTTTTGCTGGCTTCTTTCCCACCCTACTCCAATTGCCAAATTTAGACCTGTTCTAATATGTTTTCAGAGAGTCATCCTGAAGTGAGCAGGACATTTACAGTTATTTCTATTTGTTTTATCAATAGCAACCATTGGCAGTTTTTGTATTTTATTCAGTATTAGTGAACTAGGCATTCTGTTTTTTTAATTGCATGTGTGTGCTAAGAAACGCAAGACCACTATTTCTGAATTATTGCCTAATTATCTCTTCCTTAAGAAAACATTGGGTGTTTAGGGAGGAGGGAAATGCTTCTTCTGTTGCCCCACCCAGATCCAGCCCATTTTCTAACCTCACTCTTTCTGTCTTTCTCCAACAAATTTGGTCCCATTTGGTTCAGTTTTTGGGGAGATATTCTACCATTATCTAGGCAGAGTCCCAACTCCTCTCTATCTCTATTTCTTTTTACAGATAGATTTATTTTGGAAAATATTATTTGTTATATCAAATTGATGACAGCTTTGTCTGGTTGGCATTGGAGTGTCATATCTGAGATAAATTCTCTGGATAATGTGTAACTCATTGAATCATTCAAATTAGTCTGACTTGTTTGTTATGTTTTGGACCATAGATATCAATCACCTTTTCTTGCAATTGGTCAAATTATTTTAATATAGTTTTTCTTGAATCTGTTGACACCATGCTTAGATTTGTGAAGGCCATTGCCTTCAAGGAAGTTCTGGCAAGTGAATAGAACTTGGAAAATAAATGCATTATTTTTTAAAGGAAATGTTTCTCTTTTGGTTCATTCATTCATTCATTCACTTGGAGTAAAATTGTCTTCAAATCAGATGAATCAGTCAATGTTAGGTCACCTATGAATAGTTTTTTATAGCATGGTCTGGCATAGCAAGCAGGCTGTGTATATCCCCCCAAAATAAATACTGTTGGTATAAATGTTTCTGGATTACAATTTTTAATGCACTTGAGCTTTACTTCCCATTTTCCTTTGAAATTGAGTTGGCTTTATAGCTTTGATGACTGAAAATAAACCAGATTTTATTTAGTTCTTAACCTTTTTAGATATGAAATAGGATTGCACCATTTTGATTGGTTACCTTTAATGCTTCAAGTAGTACACTTCTTAGTGATTCATTTTTTGCTGAGGGTGTTCTTTAATGAAGCTGATATAATGCTTTACATATACCAGGCGTGCACATTTGAAATTATGACATAGGGTGTCATTAGCGTACTTACATTATGCAGCTTTCTGTGTCAGTAACTGACATTCCAAAGCTGTCTGTTTTCCAAATTGGTATCTAGAAACTGTGATGGAGTAAGTAAATTTCAGATAATTCCTCAATTTATGACTATTCATTCAGCAACCATTTGAAGTTACAACTGTGCTAAAGAAATGACTGGTCCTCAAAGTTATGGCTGTTGCAGTGTCCCTGCAGTTATATATCAAAATTCTGTCCCATTCATGCTTATGATTGAAGGCTACTTTGTTCCTTTGTTTTTACAAGTCTACCTACTCCTTGACCATTCTTGCCAATGGGGAAATGAGCTGCACGATGGAGGGGAGAACTTAACTGTTACATTTTTAATATCTTCAATACTTTAAGTGTCTTAAAGGGTTTTTTTTCTAATTGACTGGGCCCTCCCCTCCATCATGTGCCTCACCCTTTCCAAGATTTCACTGCTCAACCCTCATGTGCTTTCCCTAGTCACTATTTTTGGAGACAAGACTGAGCTTTTATTAGAGAAAACAAGAAAAGACACAAAATACGACTGGTGCAGAGATTTTGTATTTGGTGAATAAACTGTTTTGTTTTCTGCAATGCCCAACTCAACACTTATTCACTAGTTGCTCCGAAGTGGATAAACAAACAGTGGGGTTGAGAAGAGTTCTTGTGTACTTCTATTTGATTAACTGCCATTGTATAACACTCTCCTGATTGACTGGAGTATTCTGTGTGTCTATCCCAAGGTAGGGTACTTCTCCCCACCCCATGAATTTCGTCAGCTTTGCAGGAGGACAGCTGGGTCAAGAGTGAGCAGAGCCTGTGGGTAGAATCTGTCAATGCTGGACTTTCCTCCACTCCTCACTGAAGAGTGCTTGTAACTGCAGAGTGTGCACTGTGCCTCCTGAAAGCCTACTTTCCTCCCCTTCCTCCAGTTCTACTGCCACCCCAAACAGCACCTCTCACATAGCATGCACCTTGCTCTGAAGAACATTGCCAACTCTCCTTCCTTGCCTGGCAATGGAGAGTGCTGCAGTTGGCCACTCCGCTGCCTCCTCTCTGAATGGGTCTAGCAAGCTCCCTTTAAGCAGATGAGAAGGGAGAGGCTGCCCAGGGATGCACATGTCCTAGGGCAGCACCTTCACCCAGCACCTGTAGCCCAGAGCACCAGCAGGAGAAGGAAAGGGGGCAGTAGTGGAGGGCAGCACGGATATGTGGCAGAGTATAGGCACCAAAAGGGCAAAGTAGGGGAGATAGGCAAGAGGGTGGAATTGAAGCAAAGCTTAGTTTGGCAGGATAGGAGAAGTGTGAGGTCTAACTACTGCAACTATGACTATTGAAACTGCTGTTGCTAAACAGTAAACTCACAATGTTTCTTTTACAAACCACATTACTTAGCAATGGAAGTTCAGGTCCCAATTGTGGACATAAGTTGTGGGTAAAAGTGGGTGAAATTCAAAGTAGAAACTAATAGTGCTGGCCCTCTGGCACAAGCCTTTAAATCAGTGATAGTGGTAATCAGTGGTGGTAAAGAGCCTTGGTGGCACAGCAGATTAAAGTACTGTTAAGTAACACCAGCTGCCTGCAATTACTGCAAGTTTGAATCTCACCAGGCTCAAGGTTGACTCAGCCTTCCATCCTTTCGAGGTAGGTAAAATGAGGACCCGGATTGTGGGGGCAATAAACTGACTTTGTATAAAATAGAACACCACTGGGGGGGGGGGAGCCCTACTAAGCAGGTTTATGCAAAAAGTATGAAGGCTATTGCTTAACACATTGTAAGCCGCCCTGAGTCTCCGAAGAAGGGCGGCATATAAATTGAACCAATAAATAAATAAATAAATAATCTCTTGGTGTTAGATTAAGATCCAGGGGTTAGTTCTTTGACTATCTAGACTTATTCTTTGCTCTACCGTGGATGTTAATGTTTATCAATAATCCAGTTTACTTAATTATTTTTTTCAAAAGAGTTACCTTTCTTGTGGAAGAAAGGGGATTTTGATGGCTATGCCTCTTGTACTGTTCTTGAAACAATCTTATTATACATGTTAACCATTAAAGAAGCTCTCGGGTATAGATGGGCTTCTAAATCAAATCTCAGGGGAGTTAAAAGTGCCTTCTACTATAATAGGATTTTTTGTGTAGCAGTTTTTAACCAAGCAGTTTTTTTCTCAGTAATTTATTGTAATTTCACTTGGTGGTACATTAAAATCAGTAGAAATTTATGTTGTTATAATGTGTATTTTTTTTGGAACTATTCAGTTGTATTTTGTTATTTAGTTTGTTATTATCTTCAATTTTGTAGCTGCTGTGCCTTATTGGAGAATCCTTTGATGACTACAGTGATGATGTATGTGGAGCTGTTGTTAATGTTAGAACCAAGGGGGATAAAATAGCAATATGGACTACTGAATGTGAAAACAGAGATGCTGTTACACATATAGGGTAAGTTGATGTTGTGAAATTTCTGAATTGCTGCTTTAGAAAATACTGATGTTTCAGAAGCTTTGTTTTTATTTTTTGTTAGTTATGGTTTAATTCAGATATAAATTGTGTTCAGGAAAGGAAACAGATCAACTTTATAATTTAGGAAGCTCATTTGTTTCAGTACATCAAGATTTGGGGTATAATCCTAATCTGTGTTTAGTGAAAAAGACTTCTAGTGTCCTTGTCATGCAAAAGAATTAATACTGATTTTGGGAGGGCTGCTGTCAAAATTATGGCTGTTTATATTTGAACCAGTTCAGAATTTGAAGCAGACTATGGTACATACTTTTTTTAAGGACTCTCAAGGTGATACATGAAGTAGCAAATGTGCCTAATAAGGTTACATGGCAAATAAAGCCAGTTTGGATAGCAGCTAACATTCTGTGCTAGAAAATCAGGAGACCTATGAATTCTGGTCATCTTTTGATCATGAAAGCCAGCTGGATGACTTTGGACTATTCACACTCTTACCCCAACCATCCTCACAGACTTTTGAGAAAAAGATGTGGGGGCATTAAATAAATACACTGTTTTGAATTGATAAAAAAGATAACATAAAAATCAAATAATGATACAGGTAGTCCTCAACTTAAAACAGTTCATTTAGAGGCCATTCGAAGTTATAGCATCACTGAAAAAAGTGACTTATGACTGTTTTTCACACTTCCGTACAACTTGTTGCAGCATCTCCAGAGTCACATGATCAAAATTCAGACACTTAGTGACGGATTCATATTTATGACTTGTTGCGGTGTCTTGGGGTCATGTGATCACCTTTTGTGATGATCTGACAACCAAAATCAAAGGGGAAGCCAGATTCACTTAACCACTGTGATACTTACTTAACAATTACAGTGACTTAATAACTGGTAAGAAAAGTCATAAAATGGGGCAAAAATCACTTAGCTGTCTTCCTTAGCAACAGAAACTTTGGGCTCAATTGTGGTTATAGGTTGAGGATTACCTGTATTATATTTTATGGCAAAATAATTTTTCCAAATATTTTTTTCATATTGATATTCTATAAGGTTCATCTAAATAAGAGAATTAAGTCATAGCCCTAATGAACAAACTTCATTGCAATGATAGTAGCTTTATCTTTCATGTGTTAGTATAAGTGCAGTATAAAATAATTAAATGCAATATCAAAAATAAATGCATGTATTCACTTCAATCTAATCTAAGATCACAGCTAAGATAAACAAGCCTCAGTGTTCTGAATAGCCTTTATCAATTTTTAACACATATCAAAGAGAATTCTGCATTAAAATTGTTTAGTTTCACAAAGATGCATTAAAAATAAACATTTTAGCACCTTTTAAAATGAGTTGATTCCAGATGACTAACATTTAAAAAAAAACACCTTTCACTCATGCCATGGCTATTTTATCGTAAGGAGGTGCCAGCTGAATAATTGAATTGAGCACAGGAATAAATGTTTTGAGCTGATTTTCCAAGTAACAAAATGCTCCTATACATAATTCAGTAAGATTATATCAGCAACTTCTATTGACATTTTTGCAAATAGCCAAAGTAGAGAAAGGTAGAAGTAATTCAGACGTCCAGAATACTGCAATTATGAATACAAATCAAGGGAGCAGAAAGAGCTGTAAGGTAATTTGGTTAGTAAACTGTTTTAGTAATTCAAACTTGAGACAATTGGCATGAATCAGCTGTTTTGCTATCATTCTGATGGGGAGCTGACAAACTCTTATGAACATTAAGCTACAAGTTAAGATAGTTTAGTCACTTGGGCTTTAAGTGAAAGTCCCTCATGAGTTTGAACTCTGGGTTGCTTTCTACTGAGGAGGCTCAGCTGACAGACCTAAAAATGAAAGTGGTGGTATAATCAGGAACTTAGGAAGGCAGTGATCTTTAGATGTAGGAACCCCTCCTGGTTCCTATATGGTTTATTAATTTCCAAAACAGGAAATGTCATCATTTGATCATTCTTGTAAATATTAAAGGCTTCTGTTTTTTGTTTGCTAATCAAATAAACAGTGACTAAACCAAATAGTGCTAATGCTTGTTTATGTGAAAATGTAAGCCATCTTTCAAAGAAGCATGGTTTAAGGGGTGTTTAGCAAAGGATCACCTGTATATGTACTGGATGTTTACCACATAAAATTCATTATATGCTAATATGGCTGTTATCTGATTGTGATAAATGATAAGGTCAAATACTGGGTGAATAGTGGAATGACTTTTGTTTAAAAGAAATGTTAAAAAATCTGGTATGTTGCATTTGGAGTTTAAACAATGAACATTAATGCCATGTTTTGTTACGAACAATGCTACTTAAATTTATATTTTGTGTTTTTAATTTCCCAGGAGAGTATACAAGGAAAGGTTAGGACTTCCTCAAAAGATAGTGATTGGTTATCAGTCCCATGCTGACACAGCTACTAAAAGTGGTTCCACCACTAAAAATAGGTTTGTTGTTTAAGAAGACACCTTCAGAGTATTTCATAGGAGACTGCGTCAAGCAATCGAGATTTGGGAGCTGAACCAAAGCCTCTATAAAAGCAGAGTGGACTGCATTTAAATCTGATTTCCATCTAAATGTTGCTAAATTTGTGAAACTCTCATTTGCTTTGTCTTGTACTTCTGTTTTCTTCCTCACCCCCACCCCACCCCATTTTTTGGCTGAAGGTAACCTTTTCCAATCAAAGAATTTCAGTGCAACATTTGTCCCTCAAATCCATATATGTCTCCCTAACCCATTCTCTGATGCTTCTTAAGAAAATAACTATTATATTAAAAAATATCCTGAAAACAGTGCCATTTCTACAGGGGAATAAACTACTACTTTTTCATCTTTTCACTGTATGCAATAACATGTTTTGCTGGTTTGAAAGAAAAGTATGATGCATACATTTTTCTAGCAAATCTTTCTTTATACAGCATGATCATTGCTGTAATTGATGCTGATGGCTGCTAGATTTAATTTATTTGTTTCCCTTTTCTGATAACATTAGTGATATTCTGATTTCAGTTCTTGCTCATGTAACATTGGTGAAGGATCTGGGAATATGACAAAAGGTTTAATAAACATAATTTTGTGCATTCTATGGTAATTATTTTGTAATATCAAAGCTTTGCTACAAATTTCATGCATTTCAAGTCAAATCAGTGATATGTTTGTGTGATTTCCTGAACATAATTGTGGATTTTAAAAAATGTTAACACCAGAATTACATTCCTTACTAGAAATAGTATTCCTGTTTTTTGTATTTTATGCTGTATTTTAACACTTTGTATTCCTTAGGTTAAATTTTGCTTTGGTTTAAGTACGGCTCAAATAGAAAAGCAGTCCCATTCATATTAAGACAGTGTACAAAACTGTAAATAAAATGTGTACAGTGAATTGTCTTTTAGACAAGTAGATTTGTCCTTTTATTTCATTATACTGAAGTGCTTTGTACTACTTTTGACAAGATAGTCTCTGTTGTGGCCTCTGTTGTAGTGTATATTCTATAAAAGGATAAGTCTTAAACTACAGTGAATTCAAATCCTGGATTTGAATTACATAGTATTATATCCATATGCAATTCTTTGCTGTGGTTATAATTAGTATTAATATGTTCCATGTATTGTTTAGCTGCCAGGCTAGCATCTCTAGAAACCAAATGGATATCTGAAAGTGCGCCTGGAGCAGCAAATGAATAACAGCAACAAAACCCTCTGGGTCTTGCTAAATTTGGGGGGAGGGGATATAAATTAGTCAATTACACATTTATTTTGAGAAATGTAGCAAAATGTTATTCTGGCACTTAGTGCAGTTGTTGAGACAGTGGCAGATTAAAACTTATTTAAAGGAGATATTCCAAAATTGTCAATTTCAGTGTAAAGTGTAATGGTCGGATGATGTCATATTTCCTATACTGAGAAGGAGATATGAGGAAGTCTCGAAGATTTTTAGCTGGCCTATAGCTAAATGTTTTCGCCTGAATATTACCCATCAAGGCAGTTTTGCTGTCTCCCTGACTTTAGCTATATTACCTTGGAATATTTGCCTCCTTTGCTATAAATGTCTTAGAAATTTTGCCTAGTTATCCTGATTTTTGCCTTTTGGTTCTTGCAGTTTATCTAGCACTAACCCAAATAGCATTTTGTGTAAAAACTGATGCTGTATTCTTGCAGTTAATACTTCCCCTTATAATAAACAAAACAGCTCTTGTATTAAAGCAAATGTGGTCTGTACTAATGTCTAATTCTATTTGAGAAAAGGAAATGATTGACCAGTGAGAACCCAGTTACATCTATCAGGGCAGTATCCATGGTATGAGAAACATTGGTTCATGGTAATTTGAGGACTGCATATAAAACTTTCTGACTGCCCGATAGAGAAATCATGGCTGCATATTGTAGTCTCTTCTTGAAAATATAATCTGATGAGTTTTGGAAGAAATTGTTTAAATATTTGCATTAAACAAACCCTAACTAGATAAATAGAGGGTGATGAATGCAATCTGGAAAAGGCTGGATTCTCCCCTCATCTCTTATCCCTCAGCAATCCTTTACTGATTTAAATTGCTCATTTGAGGATGTTTGCCTTAAGCAATAAAAATAGCAAGTGCAGGGGTTTTAAGAGTCAGAAAGTGTGGGCTAAGTTAAAAGCGATCCTTTTAACATCTTTTAACGCTCTGTCTAACATAGTTTGCTGAGTTGGTATTTGGTGGCTATAACGATGGGATGCTGGGAGCTGACCTCTGGATTTCCCATTATTTATTGCAATGTACCATGAAAGGTGACTGAGTAAATCTCCAGGTAGTGAAAACTTATAGAATCAGTTGCAACGTGGCTGAAGGTTTTTGATTCTTGTCTTCTGCCCTCACTTGTCTTCTATTTTATTATCATATCTAGTCATTAGCTCCCTCATCCCTATTTTTACCCAAATATTCTGAATAATTATGTCTAATATTTTTTACTGAAGTGTTATGCTATATTTTAGTATTTTCCATCATTAAAATATTTGTTGTATGGTATAAAAGCCAGTTTGGTGTTGTGGTTAAGGCATCAGGCTAGAAACAGACTTAAGTTCTACTCCTACCTTAGTCTCAAAGCCTGTTGGATGATCTTGGGCTAGTCACTTTCTCTTAGGTCTAGGAAGAAGGCAGCGACAAAACACTTATGAAAGACTGGGAATCAGACCAAATTGAACAGAAAAAGAAATCCGTGCCTTATACCGTTTTTTAAACTTAATGGTTGGATAAAATACTACATATGCTTGAATAAGGGTGTTTCTAACATTGTATGCTTCTATTAATGCAGCCTATTTCTTCAATTGTTTACTGTGTTGCTATACTTGAGGCATTCAAAAATGCAGAGCTTTGTGAATTTTATTGGCTGATTCAAAATAAGTTATTATAGACCCAGTTTTTATTGCAAGAATCTTTGGTTTCAAATTCCATTTTCTTCCAGGTTTGGCAAACATACAAGTATACTTCTAATTCACAGGATGGATGTGATTAGGGATACTGTGTTATATGTACATCCTAATTAACCCTTTGCTATGTTCGGGATGGGCAGTTTTCCATTTAACAGCTGGAGGGTCCCAATGATACAACTACATTTTTCACCCTGACTTCTTAACTCCCCTAAGAGAAAATGCCACTTTCACAATTAAAAATTCTCCAAGCAACAAGCTCATACTTTGATGCGGTGACTTTGAGAGGTCTAAGCAATTTTTTTAATGAAAATAGTGTGTTACTATTAATAGCTGTATATCTCTACCCCTCATCAATTCAGTGATGCAGTGGATGTGATGTGCCGGTGCCTTGAGGCTGTGAGGGCCTGGATGGGAGTCAACAAGCTCAGACTTAACCCAGACAAGACCGAGTGGCTGTGGGTATTGCCTCCTAAAGACCATGTTGATTGTCCATCCTTGGTTCTCGGGGGGAGAAATTGTCCTCAGAACGGGCTCGCAATTTGGGTGTCCTCCTAGACTCAGCTAAGATTAGAGCAACATCTGACAGCTGTGGCTAGGGGGACCTTTGCACAGGTTCGCCTGGTGCACCAATTGCAACCCTATTTGGATCAGGAGGCTCTCCTCGCAGTCACTTATGCCCTTGTCACCTCACGGTTAGATTATTGCAACGCGCTCTACATGGGGCTACCCTTGAAAAGTGTTTGGAGACTACAGTTGGTCCAGAATGCAGCTGCGCGAGGTATCGTGGGTGCGCCTAGATACACCCACATTACACCAATTCTCCACGAGCTGCACTGGCTCCCTATTGGTCTCTGGGCACAATTCAAGGTGTTGGTTATTACCTTTAAAGCCCTACATGGCTCAGGGCCAGGTTATCTTCAAGACCGCCTTCTACCACATAGCTCCCAGCAACCAGTAAGATCCCACAGAGTTGGTCTCCTCCAGGTCCCATCAGCTAAACAATGCCGGCTGGCGGGCCCATGGGGAGGGCCTTCTCTGTGGCTGCCCCAGCTCTCTGGAACCAGTTACCTCCTGAGGTCCGGACCACCCCCATCCTATTGGCCTTCCGAAAAGTAGTGAAGACCTGGCTTTTCCGGCAGGCCTGGGGCCGTTGATCTCGCTCTTGTGATCTGGCGAGATCCGGCCATGAATGGTGTGAATGGGTTTTAATGTTTTAATTTTTAAATGTTTTTATAATGGTTTTTTAAATGCATTGTAAGCTGCCCTGAGTCTTTGGAGAAAGGCGGCATGTAAATTAAACAAATTAAATTAAATTAAATTACTTATCGAAATCTTCCTGCTCACATTCTCATCTTTATTTTTTGCTGTGAAAGCATTCAAAAATTGTACTGCAAAAAATTGCAATGCAAGGTGCAGTCTTAAAAATCCTGGTTTGTCACCATTTGAGTCTCAAGTTAGCAGCATGATTTATGAGCTGTGTCTTCCCCAATTCTGGCTTAGCAAGTAGAATTCCACTCAAGTTTGTCCTGACAGTGAAGAATATCATCTAAATTTAATTTAGATGTACATTCTAAAAGTATACATGTATTTATATTTACAAATAGTGTTGGTCTATTGCCAAAAATGGCTACAGTACTTAAAGGTTAAAGTGATATTGGCTGTCATAATAATCACACCATGTGATAGAATTTAAATTCAAATGAATAATGGATATTAAATTACTAAAATATGCTAGGGGGTTTTTGTTTCTATCTAGTTAATAAGACATTCTATACTTTTAATACTGTAAATATGTAAAAGTTTAAACTATATTTTCTGAAATGGTGCAACACTTATCCAAGAAGAAAAAACAAAGACCACGGAAGGGATCTTGTAAATTGACCTCAGAAGCATAAATCCCAGGATTCTTAATTACACAATTAAGGATAACTTTGCCCCAAGAGTGTCATTTCATGTCCCAAATACTGCCAAGGGAGTTCTCAGATTAATTTGACACGTCTTAACTTTGGGGGAGCGAATTCTGATGTCAGAATAGCTCAACACGGCAAACAATGCAAGGATTATGTCTGGTGGGGAAAAAAATCCCTCTTCCTTTCACCTCCTCCTCCAACAGGAAACCATAAACTGGTTACAACACTGGAAACGATACTCAAAACGTGAGATACTTGATCTCGTTAAATAATTAACAGTGGGAGAGTTCACTTTAGACTTATTTTCACTGCTGGAAGCGGCGTTAAATGTGGAATTGCTCTCAGATGTTGCACCAAAATGTGCAACTTTTACAAATGGTAGGTTGGTTGGTTGTTTTTTCTTCATTTAAAGTTATTGTTAAAAGTGACTTGGTTGAAATGGAGTGAACATTTGGTGTGAGCAGATGGTGGTCAGGTCAATTGCTACACTGTTTTCTACTTTTAAACATCTTACAACAGAAGGAGAAAAGGCTTTCTTCTGCAGCTAAAAAGCCAAATTGGGGCTGAGAGAAGTGGTCCTCTTCCCCACACCAGCATGGCTGCTTGTTCACCTGGCCTTTCAACAGGAGGTATCTCTCAAGGTCTTATTTTTGCTCCTAATCTGTGATGTCCTTAGCTCTTGGTAATAAGAGTTAGGAAAAACTGGCAATATTTGTTTTCTCTGGATGAACAGTTAAAAACTTTGAATGTGTTTTTAGTTCTATTTCCCTCCCTTTTCTGGCCAAAGTGATTACTATTTGGTAGCAGCAGGGTTGTCAAACTCGCGTTGTCACATGACGTATCGCCACTTTTTCCCCATTTGCTAAACCGAGGGTGGGCGTGGCCAGCACGTGATGCATCTGGCCCGCGGGCCAATAGTTTGACATCCCTGGGTAATGATATGCTGTCAGTGCGCGTGGCACTTAGGTTTTACCAGTATTTATTCTGCAAGAGAAACAGGGAACTTCTTGTAACATGCAAATCCAGAAAACATTGGTTCATGGAAGTTTAGCAGGAAATTTAGCATATTGCATATTTGTG